AAGCTAACATGGAATGAACATAAGAGTTCTGTAGAGCAGTAGAACATTCACAGGGTTTCCTTTTGTTGTCTTGAAGAATAGCCAGACCCAAAAAAGTGCATTTCAAGAGAAAGCATACAAACAGGCACAGGCTGATATCTGAGAAGGTGACTGAACTCATAGCCAAGGCACATGTGTTTACTGTGGAATCCTTGTAACAGTTCAATATTATAAAAGGTATTTTAAAACCAGACATTCTTGAAGAGAACCAGAAGTCACTGCTGTTTGATTTAATACATGAAACAACATTCAACAAGTTACAGAAACATTTCCAGTCTCTTTTCGCCATCTTATTTTCTTTCTTCAATTTACTAGCCATACAATGTAAATGACTAATTAAAATACGATTAAAGTAGATTAATTACAGCATGTTCTTCTGAAGACTGAATTTCCTATTTTTGCCAGAAAATAGATTCCAAATGACAAATAGCAATCAACCTATATACACTGCAAAAATCATTAAGAAAATGTTTATCCATATGTTGGTAAAACCATGCTTCATAATGCATGCTGATGCTGGTGTTAACTCAATCCAACACGTACAACTACAGTAGCAACTACAGAAAAGTGGGTGAATTTTATTTTCTGAAGACAGACCTGTATTTTCCGATTTGCTTGTGACTTCTGCTACATGTAAAATCTATTTCCCTGCGCCCCACACAAGAGCTCCTTTAAGTGGTATTTAAGAGTCTGCTAGCTGTTTTAGTAACTCAGAAAGGTAGCTAATTGACACACCAAGTCAAACACACTGTCCCTTACAAGGGACTACAAGATCAGTTGAGAAAAAATGCTGAGCTCAGAATGCAGGTCTGTTCTTTAATGCTAGTAAACTGTACAGATAGGTCTTGACTCTTGTTCAGACCAGTGATCTCGTTTCGTTTCTCCAACCCTAACAGGTTAAGTAGAGCCTTGTACAGTACTTTTTTACATTTGTGAGCTTTGTCTTTAATGTAACCATGCTCACGTTACACTACTTGATCATGACAGAGTTTTCACATTTAAAAAAGACCCAGGCTATATTTACAGCATCCCTTAGAGGATGCCATATGATGATTAGAAGAAAGCCAATTTCTTCACGACATACAGCAGCTACTTCAAGAGTCATCTGAAACAAACATAGTGGCGAATGTTTTTCTATGTGTTATTTTTACTAAGAACAAAGTCATCAAGACAGTATTTCATCAACTGACCTGTCGAATGTGGGTAAAAAGTGATCTGACTCTCAGCAGCGATGTACCACTGAACGTAAGTCTATATAGTATTATAAGCTTGTTCCAAGTGAGACATCCTGGAAAACACTGTAAGACTCTGTTTGAAAGTCTATTAACCCTCTAATTGATCTTTTCTTCAGTTGGAAAGAAAAAATGTGGCTGTATACCAATGTAGCAAGCTAGGAATCGATTAGTGCATGCCTTCAGTTATCTACAAACACTAAGCATAACAATTACCACTTGAGAAAGAACTTGAACTCTTTATATAACATATTCTCACTCATCCACATTATCTGTAGAGAAATCAGTTGCCAATATCACAGAAATATTTCCTTTTCAATTGGCCTTTGCCCAACTTTTACTCCTACAATTCAATGCCCCCTCTTTTTTGTTATTTTCGTGTTAGAGCAATTTTACGCCACAGCACAGTATGGAAGTGTATTCAGGATACTGAACAGCTAGCATGATTTAGTTCTACATTATTTTAATAATCCAAAGCTTTATCCACAGCAGTATACATGTGATCAAGTCTAAATGGCAGTACAGTTTCTAGGTAAATGACAATTGTTAACTTCATTTCTTCAAGCTTCACCCTTCAGTCTGTACTACTTCTACTTCCTACAGTCTAGGTGGCTTGACAAAGAGTAAGAAAGAGTCAAAAACCAGTTCACATGCTACTTATCAGACTAGCCTAACAACAAAAAACCTTCAGAATTGCAACCTCATTTGAAGAGCTTTGAAGGATCGAACAATTTATTGAATTACTCCTAAAACTATGGAAAAAGACACTAGTCAGATCACTGCTTTGCCAGCAGTGGACCATAACATCTGTAACTGGAACTTGTTGCAGAAGCATGTACAGTAATTTACAGCAAAGCAAGCTTAACACTTTCTTCCCATTAGCTTCCAGAGTTAAAGTCTTCCTTAAGTACCTCTGAGACATTATAATCTCAAATCTCAACAACTCACTCCTAGAAGGTAACAAACAATATTGCTGAGACCAATGAAACATCCTAATCTGCTCATCCCAGGTTTTAGCATACTGTCTGTTACCTTCTCAAGCATCCAAGTTTCAAGCAGTTAGGAGCTCTTGAACCGTTTCCCTTCTAGCCAGCTGTGCAGTCAAATATAAACCTTTGCACATGGCACTCAGCATAAGGCCAATACATGCATTTGTGTACTTACGGTGCCCTTCTGTGACTTCACCCAAATGATCTTACACAGTTCTACTTTAAACGTGAAGGAAGATTAAAAACATCTGTCCCCCTTAACCAAAGTAAAGCATATTCTCTAGTGAAGTGATAAAGAACCAGTTGTACTCCACACATTCAGGTAGTTGAAAAAGTGACATCCCTTCCATGCACCCCAGTTAGCACTTCAGTTATTTTAGTTTTGGTTTCTGGTGAGACATTCATTAGCTCTTTCTAGAAACAACTGGTAAAGTTTCTCAGCATTAGTTTCATAGACATGAAGCCCTCAGACACTTTGCAAACAAGTATAAACAGCTGCCAATGCAGCAGGCATTCAGGTTCAGACATCTATGCTCAGATAACCATAATACAGATGCCTGTCTCCCTCTACAATCAAAACAGATCTCTATGATCTAAAAGTCTGAGGAGGCCTTTCAGTTCTTAAAACAGGCCTATAAGAAAAAGACATGGAGAGACTCCTCAGCAGGGCCCGTTGTAACAGGATGAGAGGTAATTGTTTTAAACTAAAAGAGGGGAGATTCAGGCTGGATGCAAGGAGAGAGTTCTTTACAATGAGGGTGGTAAAATACTGGCACAAGTTGCCCAGAGAGGTGGTGGATGCACCATCCATGGAGACATTCAAGGCCAGGCTGGATGTGCTTCTGGGCAACCTGATCCAGTTGAAGAAGCCCCTGCTCATTGCAGAAAGACTGAACTAAGTGACCTTTGAAGGTCTCTTCCAACCCAAACTACTCTGTGGTTCTATGTAGCACAGTCAAAAGGAGCCTTGATAGCTGTCTGGCTGATCCAGTATAGGAAACCACATATGGTGGTCAGGTAAACAAACAGTTCTGTGTCCACTGACATAAATTCATGTGCCTGAACCAGGAACTTAATGTCATACCTTAATTGTTGAAAACTTATTCCAGAGAACTGAGAAACAACCAACCAAACTAAGTTTCTGAAAGGTGAGTACACACCTGCTAAAAAGTAATTGACCTATCCCCAAAAAGAAGAGCCAAAAACATGATGCTAAAGATACCTATGTCAGCCATCTTCTTACTGGATGATGGTTGTGACTCCTAAATTTTACAATTCTAAAATTAACTGTCAGGGACCAAAAGTAAAATTTCTCTTCTTTTCAAAAATCCTTCCATTATGCTATAGTGCCATGAAAACCCAACCATGTGAAATATGAAGGAGACCCTGTCTTGGTAAGAGAAGGACAAGAAAGGAGAGAGAAAGGCTGTTGCAGAAGTTCGCAGCACAAACAAATCCAAGCATATGTGGGAACTGTAAGGCTCTTCAGTTAATTACTTTTTAGGATTAAGCTGGCAGTTCCAAGCAGTACTGATTCAACACAATGAGGATAACTAGCAGCAAGGCACCTTTCTGAATAATTCTGCCCTAAAGTACAGTAGTCCTCATTTTTTCACCCATCATGTCAGAAACAATTAAGTGCTAAAAATCTTTTCACACACCAAATGAGTTTATATGCATCTTTTAACTCCCAGATTTTCATACTTCAAATAGCAGAGGTAAAACTTCCACAGCACTGACTATACTTCTGTCTAATGTCTCATCATTTTAAATATTTAAGTCCCATTTCAAAGGTTTACATTAAAAAGCACACATTAGTAACAGGCCCTGTAGAAAAAGCTTGTACTGTTCACAATACCAGAATTTACTAAAATTATGTCAACCATGGAGACCCAGGACAGATTCCATTCTCCAAATGGAAGTGTATTGAAAATTTCATGTTAACATAACATGCAAAGAGACTCTTATGAAAAATAATATTTTTAGTCCCAATAAAGAAATACCCAGTTATGGTTGGAAAGTTGCATCATGTATTTAGGGTTTTACCAGCTACACAAACTGCATCTTACTGAGTTATGAAGGGATTAAAATACCCTGCTTGTAGCCAAAACAGCAATACCTAAATAGACTGACCTTTATTTTTTACGTGTTTTAGTAACATGGTTTAGTTCACTGACAAGCTTGGAGTGAAGAACTACACTTGAAACAATAGTTCTAATGTGACACAATTTTGCCAGAATTGTGAGTTTAGAAGGCAAAAATTAAACACTGAAGTTTTAGCTAACGACTGAAATGGAAAACAAACCTTTATGGTAAATATCGATCTATTTGTGTATTTATGCAATTCGGAAACGTGCACAGAACAATAACCATCTGTGTGGTATTTTAAAAATCATGACTTCTGGTGACATCATAAACCATAAGTTGAAAGAATCGTGACACCCCTGCACTCAAAGTCCACAAATATAAAGCTACTGGTTATCTCTGATTTTTCAAGAAATTGAGTGCATTCTGCACCAATCTAACTTCAAGAGTTCTGGTATCACCTGTCTCAGAAGTGACGTTTCACATATAGTAAGCACCACCAAGTGTTCATTCACATATTACAAAATAGCATATTAAGGAGAAAAATGTTCATCAACAGTTATTGATTAAGTTACAGGAAAATCTACATAAAAATAGTCTATTAGAAATTCCATATAGAAGACTTCATTAAAATCAAATAAATACTAAATTTTACCTTTTCTGGATTGTAATATAAAGATTTCAAAGTGGTAAACAAGGGTGGACAGCCTTTACTGAAGTTAACCCTCAGGAACTTATCCAATAGTTCTCTAAATTTTTCACCTAGAAACAAAAGTGTATTTGGTTATATGTCAGTGACTGCAAGTGTTATATAAAGATAAGCACTAACTACTGTGCAACTCTGGATAATAATTTTAATCTTTCCTGGTTTTTATGAATAAGATATAAATATGCTCTGGATAAAAAAAAATATTAGTGTAAAATGCTTAAGTTGCTAGTGTTTAGGAGACTGCTGATGTAGATATGGCAACAGTCCTCAAACCTGCAAAATCTATTAAAAAGAGAAATTATTAAGTGCTGGCTACAGATGATGTAGCAAGGGCTATTTAAACAAACACTGGTGAAAGTTATAACGGTAAGGATAACTAAGCACTGGAATAGATTACCTTGGAGATCTTGTAAAAGCTCCATCACAGGAAGAGTTCATGATTAAGTTAAGACAAATGTGTGTTAGAAATAATGCAGATATAAATTATCCTGCTCTGAGGAAGAAGGATGGATGAAATGAACCCTCTACCTCTCTTTTAGTCCTATTTTTTATGAGTAGGACATGACTTCTAATGATTATATGATTGTTTCTGAACAGAAACAGAAGACTGGGTTTCAGAAGGGTAAGCACTGTATTAGAATCATCTTTATTAAAATATAATGGCAGAAAGCTTAATATATCATTTAATTATGTTGTCAAATAAGAATCACAGTACTTGCAGTACATGGCACCTGAGAAACGCTGTTTCCAAATTAAAAAAAAAAAAAGGTAGGAATTCAGAGAGAAGGTATGTAGTCAGGAAAACAGTTGGTTTTTCATGCTTTTATTCGTGAAAAGTGATTGGTTTCAGTTGTTTTAGTTTTGTTGGGTGTTTATCATTGTTGTTTTGGTTTCTTTAATTGGTTTTGTTTCCTTTGCATAGGGATGAAATTGCTACACTTCACTACCTAGTGTGCTGTGAGCTTCGAGAAGTCTTTAAGCAAGGTAATTGTACATTACACAAGGCTAACACACACACAAAAGCCATTGAAATAAACTCCAATTCATTAAGAACATATTATGAATCATTAACAGGTTATTTTATAGATGTCAGAAAATTAAGATACAGCTTTGAATATAACATTCTTATGTACTTCCACCAGTTCTTAATTGTCCAACATTTACTGTTATCAGTACAGTTACTGAGATTAATAGAAGTAACTTGGGTACTTGCCTCATTGTACTAAAATAAACTGCCATATATAGAAACTCGTACTACCTGTGGATGGGGATCATAACTGGACCATAAACACGTTTTATTACAGGTGTATTAAAGGTTGTTTTCTCATACTACAAGAAGCTTCACTGTATGACAAGAAGTCCACCTTGTAATTTATTCTGTTGAATTGTTCTAATTTATATTTTTTATAGAAGAACTGTAATTCAGAATTTAGAAAAGCAAGATTCAAGTTTCCATTAAGCACATATTTATCCATAGAAAGCAAAACAGTCTAAAACAAAGCCTGAAAACTGCAGAACACAGCGATATACACAGCTAGGCACCCATGTCTAACAGGAAGCCAAGCTCAAAATTTAGTCTGAGGTACAGAAAAGACCTGACCACAGCAGGAACAGTGAATCCAGAGCAGCATAAGCAAGTATGAAACTGGACAGACAGATTCTAACCCGCTCCCCCCCCCCCCCCACCTTGATTAGTCTGAAAATTAACAGCCTTTCTCCAGAAAGGTGGTTTCCAGCTGGATTAAGGAACTGATCTGTATGAAACACAAGGTTAGTAAAATGCAATGCATGGTAAGGTCTACGAAGGACTGCCCTTCAGAGTATTTTAAGCCAATTCTGAATCAACCATTCTGCTGGGTGCAAGGAACTGGTCAGTAGCCATACTAGAACAACAATTTCCTTTAACAAAATAATTCTTTCCTCTGGACATGTCCACATACATTTCTGCAAAAACAAAGTTTGTTTCTACACCTTCACATTCTCACTTTTAAGTTTTGCTAACAAAAATTCTTATGTGCTGAACTTCAACACACAAGAAATCATTTGTTAAATACATGAATTTCTAGGGGATCAAACCCAGCTTTATACATCCATGACTGATAAACCTCAACAGATTAACAGAAGCACAAATTTTAATTCAGGAAAATTTTTACTTGTTATGAAGCACTGCAGAAAGCCTACAAAGAGATTTTTCTCAACTGATCCAATAATGAATTTTGCTTTCATTTAGACTATGGCTGCAGCAGGAACAACTAATCCTTGTTAACAAACATTTCTATTTAAATGAATATTAGGTGTGAAACTATACTGTCAGATATGATAACCCAGTGCAAAACAATGTGAAATTAATTTAACAGCAAAACACGCTACTATTAAAAATATACAGAAGTGTTCTGCAGAATGTATAGCCACAATTTTATTACAGAAGAAAAACATTTTCTTGTCACTTAACTTTTCAAATGGAGCTGAACTGCCTTAAAATTCGCCCTTGTTCAGTGAAAGAAACAAATACATGTGATTAAGGCGCACTAGTGTTAACTTCAGGGCTAAATCTATTATGAAGCAGTTATATTGTGCATATGCTCTTACTGCATAAAATCATTCAGACTCGTGAGCAACAACAGGAAAGGGGACAGCTATGTTGTTGCTACAGAAATGTGGTGTTCAGTAAATGAGCTAAATAAAAACTAACATCATGAAATCAAGAGCATAAGTAGATACACTGGGAATTTTCAAAATTTCATGGCACTTGATACCTAGCTTGTGTACTTTGTATTTCTTCCCACAGGCTTTCTACTGGAGTTACAGCAGTTAGACACCTAAATACCAGGTGGATATTTTATGGGATTTATCATTTCATTTAGTCTCCTTCCTTCTATTTTGGAAGATCACACTTTGCTGTTTTAAGAAGTACATATATGTTCACTCCAGAACCGAGGATATCTGCGCACTGTGTTTCAGTACAACTTTTGAAACAGCAGTCACTGAAAAACTTAGCTATGACATTAAAAATAATATAATTTGTGCTATGTCACACTGCAGACCTTGGTTTTTTTTGTTCCTATTATTAAACTGTCAGCACAAATTAAGTTTCTGTTGTAGATTTAAGTTCTAATGGTTCTACAACAGTGTTGTACACTCAAAATATTCAAAGTCATTTAAAAATATACTTTCTGCTGTACAGAAAACACCATATCAAGTACAAAAACTGTTAGGAAAATTCCTCAGTCCTATGCTAATGTAATTGTCATATGCATCACTTACACCTGGTTTCAATGTTTATGAATTTAAGTTAATATATATACATATGTATATTAAAGATACAAAAAGGGGCATGGTTATATACACACACCCCTATACCTGGAATTCGAGTGACCTATACCCTTTCCTTTTTAACTTATAATTCCTAAATTATATGAGGCAGAAAAATGATGCAGAAGAACTCCTACAATCTATATACCATTCTGTACTGTAGTTTCATCAATACAAACATTACATAGTTCATATCCCCATGTTAAAGTGCATGAACTCTTCCAGCTCATAAAATGTAACAAATAATTGTCTGTTCCAAGAGAAGTGCGTACATCTGGTTTGTGTACACATACAAATAGGTATTAAATGTACATTTAATAGTCTGATGGAAACTTAAGGAAAAAAAACAAATAAAAAAGCTAATACAGAACAGATATGCAACTTATTACCTGAAACAAAGTTTAAAGGTAATCTTCTAGGTGAAACTGCTCTGGGATGTCTTTTACTAACTTCTTCATAAATCTGAAGCCTCTCTTCTAAAGTGCCTATTATCAGTAAATATAACAGATATAAGTGAAAGAGAAAAATCTGTTCTTCTATTATGTTTTTAAATGGTGAGAATTAATTTAACTAGACTTCTTACACAGTTTGGATTTGAAACAATTTAGACATTTCAAGCTATTTTTTCCAGTTAATCATAAGCATTATTGTGTAAAAGTGTGTACTGAAAACGCTCTATGTACCATACACAATTATGAGCATTAATCACTGCAAGGATAAACTGCAAACAGTACGATTACTTCACACATTCAAACATACAGTACTAGAGCAAGGTTTCTTTCAGTTACATGTTGTCCAGACCTGTTTACATAGTTTGACATTCATAGCTTCAATTAACTGTTTTTTCACTATGCATCCATTTCAGACATACTTAAAGCATTCAGAAAAATATACTGCACTTCTAAATCACAGGCATACAAACAGCACGGTATACAAGTGTGCCTTTATTACAGGTCTGGTGGCAGCAAAACCAGGGCACAATACTGCCAGTGTAAGTACTGCGCACCTGTACTCTTTATATCTTAATGTTTAACAATAAAGCTACTTAAAGGTTTTCTTCCCACTCCTCCCCTTTCCCCCATAATATGCTTTGGAGCTCCAATGTGGTTAGAACTTAAATAAAACTAATCTGTTGCTTTGGAATGTCATTTTCACATAATTAAGATCAATTTTCTTTTATTATATTCATCAAGTAATTTAAATACAACTGAATTTACAGATCAAGATTAGACACAACACAGATTTAATATATCTGTTTTCCTTTCATAAGAAAAACAATTTTATCCTGTCACTGAGCTCAGATGCTGGGGAAGGGGGGGGAATATGTTATCCAGTGGCTCCAAGAGATGTAAAGTTCTAAAAGTTAAACTAAAATGATGTTTGGATTGGAACTAAAGCATACAAAATCCCTAATTGAAGTCACAAGTTGGAGCTCCAGAACTTACCATGGGGGAGGAAATAGTCCTAAGACCACCTAAAAAATAAAGTAGCATTATTAGTTTTATAAATTAGTACAGTATTAATCTACATAGGATTTTAAGATTTCAAGATAAACTACTGGACTGGTTCTTTGTTAAGAACTACACATTGTCACAAACATATCAAAACAGAATAATTAAGCTCTTGGGTATTTTATTTTCTGGAGACAATCACAATGCTTGACTCTACAGATACAGCAGGAAAACTATTTGAAGGGCAACACTACTCTTTGCATGAGTAACAACTGAAATAATGGTAATTTCACAATCACAAGCCATATTCCCAGACCTTATGAAACCCACTGTAAAAGTTTCTTCTAGAAAGCTGACTGAGAAATATAATGCAGCTATAATATCTACCAGTAATATCTTGTGTGGGCTTATGATTTATGATGTCATCAGAATAACTCCGGTAAAACATCCACTAATTAGTGAACAATGAAATACAAGGAAAACATTCCTGCATAACAGTAAACACTTGGGAAAGTTACCACTGCCAAACACTTATTACAGTATAAATTGTTGCAATATTGTAATAAAACAAACAAACAAAAAAACCCCCAAAACCCAAACAAAAACACCAAAACAACACATCCCAAACAATTAACTGTTTTCCTGAAAGACACAACAGCAGTGAACTAGAATAACAAATACCACATTTATGACCTGCTCCTCCAAAGAGCAGGGCCTATCTTTAAAAGGCCATCTGAAACAGGTATTTGATTATTTCTCTATGTGCCTGTAGAAAGAGGTACCACCTAAACAAGTTTCAGAATGACAGCCTTACATTGTGGTGTATGATAGTGGTCTGACTATCAGCCAGTAGTCAGGAATGAATTCCAATTTGGTTTCCAAATTCATGCATGGCAAAGAAATGTTTTTTGTGCAAGTGTGTTAGCAAACACCACCTTTAGCTCCAAGAAGAGGAAGACCTGCTGTTAGCACTTTCAGTCATACAAGTTTTTCCAGTAAACATTTTAAAATGGATAAAACAACATATCATACCCATGATTAGAAAGTAAATATTCTTCTGCCAAGCAGTTTTTAAATCTAAAACAGTAACAACAAAAAAAAGTTTAAGTATATCCTCTATCATATGTATCTTCCATGTAACTTACTAGGTTGTAGGGCCTTTTCTAAGCCTTCATAATAATACCAGTTTTCTGCATTGCGCTCAATTAACTCTTTGTATACTTCACCAGCTTCTTTCAGCCTTCCCAACTTCAGCAACATCTCTCCTAAAAACAACACGGTAAAGAACTGAGTTACATGAGAAAACACTGATATATTAGCAGCAAAGTTTACAAAATTTTGGGGCTTAGTCATATGTAAGATACTCAAAAAAGTGAGATTTATTTTTCCAAGGGCATTTACTGTGGATTACAAGTGCTACTTGAAGCTACCACACATGTAGCACAACACAGTTTGGAGTATTTAGCACCCGCAAAAACAGATTATTTGAATGTCTGTATCTGAGTACTCAAAATAGTTATTGAGATTATCAATGAAACAAAGAACTCCTCCTTCAAAGACTCCAACACATGACTAAGCTGCTTGTTACCAAGCTGTTCACTTAACTACACTTACATTTTTCACATCAACTAACCAGTTTTTAACCAGTTAAGTCACACTGGTTTGCCATTAAGTAAATTGTTCTACCAGGTATGTCTTGCATGGAATTAATTTCTTCACTGCAGCTTACACAGTGCTGTGTTTTGGGATCTGTGACTAAGCATTTATAAAACACCAGTGATTTTGCTACTGCTGAGCAGTACTTGTAGAGCATCAAAGCTTTTTAACTCCACTCTGCCACCCAAGCAGGCTAGGATGATAATAAGCTGTGAACCCACACAAGCTGGACAGTTGACCAAAACTGGTTAAAGAGGTATTTCATCCTATGTAGCATCATGCTTAGTAATAAACATGGAGGAAGGAGGAGTGTTTGGGGAGGTGGCCATTGCTAGGAGACTGGCTGAGCATCAGCCTGCTTGTGGCATATGGCAAGTCATTGCCTTTGCATCACCTTGGCATCTGTTTGGGGATTTTTTTTCCCTTCCTATTTTTTTCACTTAAGCTATCTTTATCTCAAGACACAGGTTTTCTTGCTTAGCTCCTATTCTCTCTCCTGTCATGACAAGGGAGGCTGCAAGAAGCGAGTGAACAGCTGTATGAAGCTTACCTGTTTGCCAGGGTCAACCCACCACAATTGTGCAGGAAGAATATGGGCTATTACACTACATAATTGTGCACATTCACAACTCAGTACTTCAAATTCACAAAACAACTGTGGTTTATTTTTAACAAAGTCAACTTCAGTATTCTCTTAAGTAAGGCAATACATGTAAGTGTATTAGAAAGCTCAAGAAAACAAGAATATTTCAGTCAGTTAAAAAAAAAAATCAGTGCTTGTACTACAAATAATATTCTTTGATATTAAAACTGGGTTATAAATAGCTCTGATTTATAGAAAGCTACTCTAGTATGTACCAATATAATAGTACCCAAAATCTCCTATGTTCCTGTGTCATAGGATCATAGAATAGTTAGGGTTGGAAAGGACCTTAAGATCATCAAGTTCCAACACCCCTGCCATGGGCAGGGACACCTTGCTCTAAACCATATCATCCAAGGCCTCGTCCAACCTGGCCTTGAACACTGCCAGGGATGGAGCATTCACAACCTCCCTGGGCAACCTATTCCTGTGCCTCACCACCCTAACAGGAAAGAATTTCCTCCTTATATCCAATCTAAACTTCCCCTGTTTAAGTTTGAACCCATTACCCCTTGTCCTTGTAGTGATAACTACAGTCCCTAATGAAGAGGACCTCCCCAGCATCCTTATAGGCCCCCTTCAGATCCTGGAAGGCTGCTATGAGGTCTCCACACAGCCTTCTCTTCTCCAGGCTGAACAGCCCCAACTTTCTCAGCCTATCTTCATACAGGAGGTGCTCCACTCCCCTCAAGCTGAATTACTTGCATCCACTATCCACTTCAACAGGGCAAATTACTTGAGCACAAAATTGTAGATAACAGTTTCCCTACAGTAATGTTGAAATTAAAGATTTAACATGTTTTTTTCCCCTCGTACTGCTTTATCATATCTGAACGTCAGCTGAAACATTTAGAACAAAATTTGCTGAGGGAAGAAGAATGACTTACCTTTGATTTCTTCTACTATTAATTTATCACATATTTGCTTTTCATAAGTCTCTATATGTTCTAAAGACTCTTGAAATAGATCTGCCTCTCTCATCACTTGATTTTGATATAAAATCAGTTCACTATATTCATAATCTATCTTATTAGGAGGAATCTGGGAAGAAAAAAAAAATAGGTTAGTTAACATTTACCTGTAGCTCAATTGTACAAAATATTCCAGAACACAAGATTCAGTCTATGGAATACATCAGGTATAGTTATATACTCAACCAAGCATTCAAAATGAAAAACTCCCATTATTCATAATCAAGTTAGATTCATTCAGGATACCCTTTGTTAGAGAACAGTTTAAGAGAATCCCTGTGTTTGCCTTTCCTTCTCTCATACAATTCAATAAAATTTGCAAAGCTCTTGGTAATCTTTTCCTTCTGAAGGATTCATGTACTCCACAACAATTTTGACCTAAGTTCTGTAGCAGACTGCTGGGATATCACAATATTCATTTTCAGCATACCAAAAATTCTATATCAAACTACTATTTCCAAGAGCAATGAACCACTCAAATACTGGCCATAGCTTGACAGCTAGAACTTTTCAGACAGAATCTAAACTATTTCTCTCTAACCAAGTTTTTCTTGCACTACACTTCAAACCCCACAACGTACAGTGCATAACCATGCTAAGAGTATTTTCAAGCAAAGATAATGATTTTGAGGTCTGCTGCCATTTGATACCTAAGATTCGGTCTACTAGCTACAGTAAAACTAGTGGGCCTTCCACTTGCTGTTGATACACGAGCCACTAGAACAGAATGACATTCAGAACTATTTAATTTTAGGGATAACACCCTGAAGTGTATTTAGGCAATGAAAAAATCTTGCCAGAGTTACAATTAATCTTAATACCAGATGCTCTTCACTAATACACACAGAAGCTACTGCAATTACAAGTAAATTGCAAGGATCTGAGACCAGATGAAGAGGTCTGCAGATAATGCCCAGTATATCTATATAAGTTTACTATGTGAAATATACTGCCTCAATAGGAACTGTAGGAGAGACAGTGATAGGCTAACATGATTTTATTATTAAAAATACCTAAGAAGCCACTGAGCTTACTACACATTATTAATTTTCTTTCCCATGACACCACACACTTTGCTTCTTTCTGAGCAAACAACACTCTGAAGTCACATTGGTCACCAAATGGTTTACTTTTTTGTCCCCTGAGAAAAGCTTTTCCTATGTCTTCATTAAAGAACTAAGAAATTAAACAAAAAAAAAAATCCAACCCAATACATTAAACTGGTTGAAATTAACATTCATATTAAAATAATCTTGTCCTAAACCACTACTTCTAGACCTTGCTAAACACATCAATTCTGAGATTTAACATTTCTGTTTACATGCTCTTTTAATGCTTAGAGGCAGCTTTTCCAGTACAGCGACTTTTTAGAAGGAAGATTTCCTTTTAGATAGAAATGTTATGGAAGACGGCATAACTAAAAACATTGTAAAGAAGAGAGTATCCGACAATGAACATCAGTTTGGGGGCTGAAAATAACTGCATTTAAGTATTTTTTAGTAACTACTAGTATATTATAACAGATGATGACTAACGGAAAAAGACCTTGCATGTACTAGAGTAGCACCAAGTCCTACCCATTTCTTAAAATATATATCTTCTATCCAAACCTCCATTTGTGGTTCCACCTTAATTTTTAACCATATTAAACACTGGAAGTCACTAATAAAGATACCGCGACCTGGAAAGTGTTTTTGACTGCTTTAACAGAACTGACAGGGAATTGCAATGGGTTAAGAGTTAAAGCATGTCTTCCTGTCAATCCTTACTGCAATACCAAAGAACTGAAACTGTAGAGCCCTGGTTTAGTTCTTCATCCTTTACTTCCTCCATGAAAATATCCTTCCTTCCAATACAGTACACGTATCTAAATTCCACAGGTAGCATAGCTCTTTAGCACATCATTACTTCATTTTAAATCTCTGAAACATAAATTACCCCCAAAACCCCTTAAAACTTGATATAAAAAAGACAAGAAACATATCAATTAGCCTTCTTGTAGCTCTTTTGCTTTGGCAGGACTAACAAAAACAATGCAATGTCACAAAAAAAAATAATCAACTCCCGCTTACACATAGGGCAAATCCATCAGAAAGATACTGGACTTACTGCTGCTGCATTTAAAAGGCCATTCTTAAAAGTACTTTTAGGAAAAGTTCATTTTTAAAGAGATACTGAAATCTCAGACTAATGATGATTTAAAAGTACAATTTATCAGCAGACAAGTGCCTAATGTGAAGAATCAGACTGTCCTGTAAAGAATAAGATATTCTTAGAAAAGTTTTGTGCATTCCATTGTTATTGCTGCACAATACACCTTTACTCCTCCCTCCCCCGGATTCTTGAATATAGAATTATAAAATGGTTAGGGTTGGAAAGGACTTTAAGATCATCTAGCTCCAACCCCATGTCCAGCTCTGCCTTGAACTCAGTTATGTTCAAAACAAATTTCCTCCTCTCCTGGAAAAAATAACAAGAAAAAAAAAAAAAACAACAACCACCAAAACCAAAAAAGGAAACCAACTTTACAAGCACAGATGCCCTAACATTACTGTCACTGAGAGAATGTGACAAGATGCAGCCATAACATACCTAAGAGCAGACCCCCAAAACTCCAGGTTTTCTGTCCATATCTGTAATTGTGGGCCTGATGCAGAAATTAGGACTAAAATAAGAATTAAAAATAAAAATTTTGTTCTGGAAAAAAAGAAGGAAAAATGGGATACACAGCAGTAGAACAAACTGCATAGCTGTTTTACACCTTAGGTCCAAAAATTTAAATTCTGAAGTGACTCTTACATCATTTGATTTTAACTTGGACAGCACAGGCAGTGATGTCTGCATTCAACCTCACAACCTGGTTTTGACAGAAATATTGTTCATCTGGCTAATTTGCAGCTTTCATATGACAGGCAATGTTGATCTGAATGCAGTAGAAGTGAAAAAATTCACCTTTTCCAATGATAATTCAGCCATTAGAATAAAACTGTCAGTGACAAAAAGTGATTTATCATTTGAATTTGTTGCTCAACTTCCTGCCACTACTTGTTCCTTTGTATTTCCCTACTGAACAATCTTCCTAGCACTCATTTTTCCCTAAATAAGTATCTAAACTGTACCAGAACCACCTAGTTCTTTACTGCTTACAGTAAACAAAGAGAATGTCTGCCCTTCACTAGACAGCATTTGCTCCAGCCCTCTCGTCTTTCCAGATTGTTCTTTTCATTTTCTAACTTTTAAAAAGCAGGGTTATCAGAAAGTCTTGATCTCTCTGTAATCAGTACTCTATAAAGAAAAACCCTGCTGCTTCTCAGAAATAAGGGTGGTTTTTGCTTTTCACCCATAAGCTGGCCCCAAGGGACTATTTTACAATAAGCCAAGTCAATCTAACTGCAGCCTGGATCAACAAAGGCAGTTCACTTCCCTCTATTATTATTCTTCCTCTTTCCACTCTCACCTCACAGTTGTTCAGTTCAGCCAATCAATCCTTCAAAAGAGTGATTATTTTTCTGTCACTCTGGCTTCCTGAACCAGCCCTCCGCAAGTCAACCAGTGCTGCACAAGGAAGCAGTAGGAGCACACAGGAAAAAGTCAGACTGCTGGTTTTGGCAACAGCTTGTAGCTAGATTAGTTCCATTATTCAGTAATACTGCATCTTCAGATACTCACCTACAATTACTAACGTGACAGTTCCTCGATCTTTTTCTTAAGTTTTACTGCTTGGTTTTGGCTGTGTTAACTCACATGTGAATGGACAGAGCTGCCTAAGTAATTCAAGCAAGTTAATGAGATCACCCTACATTGCCAGTTACCAATTATTATAACAGCAGTATTTTTTGTAATGTTACATTTGCTTCCTTATTCATTAACAATAATGGTGGGCAGTACACACTGCCATAAAACTCCTTGAAAGCATCAGTTTGTTGATGATTCCCATTCACTAGCAATTCGGAAACTTTTCAGTCTTCCAACCCTACTTTAAACCTTGAACACAGCCACCATTTTATCAGTCACATGCAGTATCCTATCAAGACAGTCACAGAATTTCATCTATTGAGGAGGAATGCATAAAAAATACAGGGTAAGAGAAGATTTGGAACGTAAAGTAAGCAAGAAGTGTACCTCCTGAGTATCCTGAACTCAACTATTCCGAGTGCAGGATTGTTAAATATCCAGACACTGCACAAACAGTACTCTGGGGAACTAGTATGGAAGAGCCAAAGTGTGGCTCCTGACTGTTCTGGACCCAATACATTGACCCTTCCAGCAGCTGGGGCTCTAGATAGCCCTGCACTGTTCTGGGAGCTAGCACAGGATTCTCTCTATTTACAAGAGATATTAAACTAATGTCATCTTATATTTAGTGCTTTGGGGAAGAAAATGCAATATTCCATTTAACTGTATCTACCACCTCAAAAAAAAAAAAAAAAAAAGGAGGAAAAGCTTGCCACTACTGGTCTGATATTTGTAGCATATTTCTGTCCTTTAACGCATAACCAGCTTTTCCACCATTTGCAAGGGACTGATGTTATGCTAATCAACACTTAAACAGATAATCATTCAAGTACAAACCATTTTGCTACTTATGGAACTTTCCAAAATATTTCCAGTTTTACAAACACACACACACAAAAACAACCCAACAACAACAAAAAAAAGAAGGCATGAGCCTGAAATCCTCTTGACTTTCTTTGGATTTAGTGAGATTTAAGACTGTGATAATTTGCACAGCAGACTTAGCTAACTTAGTATGTTCATCTATGGCAGATGGTATTTAAATCTGGCTTAGTCACAAGACTGGAGAGCATATCATCGTGACTGCCCTCAAATAAGTATATCTGTGCACAACCTTTCAGAAAAAACAACATTAACAGTATCACTTCTATTCTCTCCCAGGGCCCAACACCATTGTTAAGCCCTCTTAGCCCTTGGAAATATTGATTTCTTACACTTCAGTTGCAGTTTTTCCCATCTATTTTTTATTCTAATTCTGACAGTCATTTCAAGACTGAACTCAGACTGGGCCCTACTGACTCATTCATGAACCATGACTTTTTGGCTGTCAAACACTCAAAATATGATCCAGTTTTCATTTAAACTCGTCAGTTTTTATACAACACTGAAGTTACAGCTCTTCTGAAATAATCAAGCTATATATACACCTGGCTTGTAACATCCTTTGTTTGACCATGATACAGGATCAAGTCACAAACACTGGTCCCTCCCAGCAATTAATATCCTTTCTTACAGTTAGCATCATTCTGGCCATTTAACACCTCAAATGCAATTGTCTCAGAGAGCATGTAAGACTTTTGTTAGAAAACATCAAAGTCTACAGGTTAGGTGATATCATCTGCACATGATACTTCCAGCATGCCTCCCAAACCAAATGCATCTATAAACATGGGTTTTCTTTCCATGTTACAGAATAATCAGATCCATTCCGTTAATTCAGACTTTAAACTTCTGCATTACCAGTAACAGAGTAAGTAAATGGTCTCTCTTGAAGAAAGGTTATACTCAACAATTTTAGCACTGTACCATTTATTCCAACAAATGTCAGTAACACCACATCTTCTGGAAGATTTCAGCTGTGCTTTCCTGTTACTTTGACACCAAACACATAATTTTAAGTACATAATATATATATGCATACAATTAACACAAAAGTTTATTTTCACATTCTTTGTGGAGATGTAGTAGCCTCTAGGCTATGGCAGGAGAAAGGGCAAACAAGCACATTCAACACTGAATAGTATTTTCTGAAGCTTTACTTCAGAAAATTGACTTTACTTTTACTAGTATAAAAGGGACAGGATCATCACAGGTTTTCTTTAGCTACAAGCCTCACAAACATTAAGTTCCTCAGTTGCTCCAGGTCAGTCTACCCTTATAAACTCAACTCCTAAGAGCCTATTGAGAGTGGGAAAGTATTCCTGTATAATTTGCATCAGCTGCTAAGCTTCTGGAAATATTTCTGCTCAAAGCAGAAACCTCCAAACTAACAAATTTCCTCCTAATTCTTAACTAGTTCCTAATTAGAGAGAACTCATTCCTCAGATTTCATCTTTTATACAGAAAAGTTTCTCTTTCCAGAACAGGGAGTCTTACCTGTTGGGTTTTCCTAAACTCTTCAAGTAGTTTTAAGGCCATATCATAATCTTTTAGTAAGTGATATGCAATGGCATATCCAATCCAGGAAGCCCTTTGTGTGGGGCGCAGCTGAAGTAGCTGGTATCTTGTCTCCTTCAGTAAAAGAAAAGAATTTTAAAGTAACAGACGTTCAAAACAAAAGAAGTTACATCACCTTTATGATGATTTACTACCAGCACAGCTTATACTTTAGAAGACTTTTTAAAAGCCCTGGACAATTTTTTAAATTCTTACAGCAGGGGGAAAAGCAACATGTTTCTGTCACATAAATCATGGGGAGCTACGTCCTCAATACAGGAGTCATGGTACAAAGCATCAAATTTATTTTTTGGGACACAAGAGGTGTCATTTTCAAGACTACCTCTTAAGGGCCTAAATTATTTCCAAAAGAGAGCTCTGAAATCTCAGAGATGCCTTCCCACTGGAAAACTGCTCACTGACACTGAAAGACCAGTCCCACTCTCCTCCCAGCACAAGGTCCTCATACTTAATTGCTGCAGCGCTTCTCAGATCCCCTTTCCTGAGACAAATCCTATCCCCTAATCAGTCACTCCCTTTTCTTGCATTAGCAAATTCAACCTTCTCAATGAATGAGATCAACTAGCACCAAAGCCCACAATACAGCCTTCTGCTTCACATGAAATAGCATACAGCAGAGGAGCAGGGCTTTTCCATTTCACAGCCAAATTAGTTCAGTCACTTTAAAACCACTAACTCTGATTTTAGACAAATTTTAAGGTTTTATTTATAACATCAGTATTGGGTCCAAGAAATCAATCATCATGGGGCAAGTTTCCAACATACTCAAGGGAAACATGATAGTGTATTTCTCACAAAACACACCTTCACCAAAACCACCATTTGCAGTACTTAACAGCACAGTAAGTACTCCTACTTGCTAAACTTTAAATTTAATCATTTTCATTATTTTAGCGAAAAACAAGTTGAGAACTAGAGTATTACAAGGTGACCTGCAAATCAAATTGTACTGAATAACTGCACTTTAGTTTTGTTCTCAACATTATATAGAACTCTGCTGCAATACTTACCATGCTTTCCTAAACAAAGAGCTTAAAACACTTTTGAAACAGCAAAACCAAGTAGCAACAGAATTACTAACATAAGACTTAGTACTGGATAGAATAACAAGAGCATGCAAACAGCAATAAATGGAAATGCTTAAAAGAGAACACTTACTCTGTATCCTTCCAAATCCCTCATCTGAATCTGTAACAAAGAGAGATCTCTCAAGATCTGTAGATTATCTTTATCTAGCTTGAGTGCATTCCGGTAACACTTGATGGCTTCATCGTATTTCTTATCAGAACGTTGCAGAAGACCATAGACGTGCCAACCTAATGCACATTAAGGAAAACATACTGACAGGTTTCAAAGTAACTGCAGTGTATTTGTGTTATGAAACAACATGACATACTCCCAGAAGATCAGCATCCTTATAAATTAAGTTTCATTACTGCAGCTGGACTTTGCTGTCACATTTTAAAATATTATTGCTTAATTAGAAGCATTTAAAGTTTAAATAAAAAAATAAAGTATCTTCTGCTCAGTCACACTCATACATCCCCCAAAAACCTACTGTTATACAAACTAAAGGATCCAAACTCCCTAAGACCCAGAAGAGATATTCTTAGAGACAGACTGTTTATAATAGACTACTGCAACTACAGCAGGACTTCTTACTTTTAGAAGTGTCTCACTCTAATAATACAGTTAGCGTATAAGTTTTACTTTTCCTCACTTGCCTATCTGTATCACCAAGTAGTCCTCAGATTTTACAGTAAGAGAAACACAGAGGCTCACTTTACTCACTGACAAAAGGAAACCTTAGCATTTCAAAAGTCAAAAGCCTTTGTTGCATTCTCAGCAACTCAGATTTCCATGACTTGCGTATCATTCCACTAGACTTTTCTCTCACGAGCATCGTTTTTTATCCTGGAAAGATTCCGAATTCAAAGCATGAAACCAACATATGCCATTACAACACAGTACACTGTATTTACACTAGTTTCCAAAAGTCTTCGGAAGAGAAAGATTACTTGCAATTATTTACTTGCTGTTATTCCAGGTTACTAGTAGCTCACTAAGGCAACATCTTCCACAGTACTGACTTTCAAACCAACAGTGGCTCAAAAGCTCTCTCATGTGCCCCTGAAGCAGCAAAACCACAGCAGATCTTGGGGAGAGGTACATGCATCCTTCACCTGCTTTCAATTAAGACAACTCAAATAACTCAGTGTTTATAATCAAAATATTCAAGAGTTAATATGCTATTGAATTGCAACAGAAGTAACTGTTTCCTCCAAAGATACAATCATTCCCAAACTTTGCATTTCAATAGGTTAACCTGGTCAAGTTAATGGATGAAAGAGAACTGTAAGATTCTCCTTCCTTAGAAAAAGACTCATGTCCTGAAGTTAATTCTAGAGATAAGACTTCAACCAAAAGACGACTTGTGAGAATTAAGTCTGAAGGAAACTTCTAAGAGGCAAAAGACCCCTTTTTGCATTTCTAGAGGAACACTAAATTCATTTCAGCCAGCTGAAGCCAACAAAACCTTCATATAAATCTTTGAGACTGTCAGGAGAGATGCTGTCACTGCCATGAGGATGCAAGAATAGATGGGAAAGGGGGACAGAACAGTTTTGTATACAGTTACAGCAGTTGAGTATAGTACTGCTACTTCTTTCCTGCTTTGGCTATTTGAGTTCAAGAATTCAAGATATAGATCAAAGTTAAATGTAGCATCTTCATATACCTGCATCAGAACAGGCATTTTAGATTCTTGCCTAGAGAATGACAATTCAGTGCAAAAGAATTTATGTGCGCTTCAAACACATACTTAAACTAAGAGGATGCTTTGAGTAATTTATCAGGCATCAGTGCCATACCAACTGAATCCAGGAAATTTGGCTTAATCTTTCATAAAGCGTATCTGTGACCAAGCAATCATGTAAAGAAAAGCACAAACCCATTCAGAAGTAAGCATGTACAGTAGTCAAGACTTAGCATTAAGGAATTTTAACAGCTGACACAAGACAACAAAGCACAGTGCTACCAATCATTATAGTAGATAGCTCTGGGTAGTCTTGCATGAGTTCCCACGGTGTCCTGAATATAATATGTAGTTTGACCAGAAAATTTCTGGATTTCTAAACCATTTTACAATGGCTATTTCCCTCCAGACCTCAATATTGGGAAACACAGAATTAAAATCTACTCCTTAAACAACACTGAAGTGACCAACTGTATTTTAAACACCCTACACCATGTCCTTTCTAAAAAGCACAGGTAACAAAATAAATCAAAAGCACCTCTAAAAGTTACCCCAAGAAAATAAGAACATATAGATGTATTGCACCTCCTCAAAACCAGCTACTGGAATGAGGTGACTTCAGTGGCTACTCCCTTCTTCCCTAGCCTCTCCCTTTAAACCAAATAACAGGCATTAAGCTCACATAAAAAAGCAGATGCAAGCATTTTAGAGAACCTCCCACGCTCTGCTTAGGTAATAACACTGAGAATTAACAGACCTGCAAGGTTTCATCAAAGCTTCATTGCTAGTCACAAGTCTGCAAAGGATGTAGAAGGAACCTTTAATAAACAGCTCAGCCTCATATCTGTTTCTCATGGGCTGGAATACATACTTTAGTCTTGACTCTTCCCATGTACTGGAGCCCAACCATCAGGAAAGATTCAGATATTTGGGCAGTGACATTATGATAGCACATTGGGTGCTCTTAAAACATGGTAGTAGTAAAAGAGTTCAGCTATTTCTTTAGAACTTACCAAGAGATGACTATTGAAAGTACTGCAAAAAATCTGAATGAATTCGCTATTACTTTACTACACTAGAGAAGTAATCTGCACAGATTACTCAAGGGGTTCTCTGTAGAGCTGTAACAATACACTCGAATGCACAACATTAGAATTCCCTGCTTTGTCAGAACAAGTTCCACAGATGTAGCTTAAAAAAACCCAAAGAAAACAAAACCCCAAAAAAACCCCCAAATCTGTGCCTAACATTCAGATGAGTTTAGACTTTACCTGAATTCAGAAAACAAATCCCGTAGCCTACTTAAAGTAAGCCAAGTTTAACGAGTCAGGTAAACAGTGATAAAATCACTGAAACTCATACCCAAAATAAGTTTGTTTTTTTTGTTTTAAACTTGTCCAGGAAGAGGGTCCCTTTGACCACCCCACCCCCCAGATTAGATGTGAAAAAGCACAAATCTCTCCAGCATTTGTAGGGGAGCCATCCAGACAGTTTTAAGAGTCAGCATGAACTGCAGACAAGAACTAGTGATGCCGATAAATCCCTATCTGGGACTTTGTTTAGGAATGAAAACCCCCTCCAAACTCTCCCTGACTCACCAAGACTCTTCTACTCCCTAACTCAAAGTGCAGGACTTCTTAAACCTAGATTAAAACTGCTTCAGTATTCCTTAGGTATTCAGCTTTTAGAACCAACAAGGCACAAATTGTCTTTGTTCAATGGCATGCCTCTGAGTGTGTGAAGGTTAGCAGAGTTAACAGGATTTTTCCAACCTCAAGCTCCCTGAAGAAACAAATGGTGTAAACAGCCATCCCCCTTCTCCTACCTACACGGTCATCAGACAGCATTTCCTGTGATACTAAAGGAAGATCTTGTTAAAAGCTCAAATACTTAATGGGAAAGTTTCCCCTTAACATGCAAGTTGAATACATACAGAACAAGTAAGGCATTCTGTGCAAATCTGGAATAGTCTTTTACCTGTGGCTTAAACAGAAGAACTTTGGGAGCAGCCATCTAAACAGCTGTTAAGTAGTTTACAGGTATAAACTTCTGAAAGACAAGCTCGTTAACAGAACTCAAGCCAAGAGACCAAAAGCATTACCTAAAACTCAGTGGCAAAACTATCCCAATGTTATCCCAACTAGAAAGAAGTATCCCAAGTAGAAGGAAGTGCAGCAGGAGGGCCAGGAGACATCCTTGGATGGGTAAAGAGCTCCTGAGGAAAATTCAAAGGAAAAAAAAGAGGCTTATAAAAGGCAGAAGCAAGGATAGGTGGCCTGGGAAGAGTACAGGGATGTCATCCGGGAAGCTAGGGACCAGGTTAGGAAAGGTAAGGCCCAGTTAGAATTAAACTTGGCTAGGGATATTAAGGATAACAGGAAAGGATTCTAGAGGTACACAGAGAACAAAAGACAGACTAGGGACAGTGTAGGCCCCCTCCGGAAGCTCTTGGCAGAACTGGCTACACAGGATTTGGAGAAGGCTGAGGTTCTGAATGACTTCTTTGCCTCGGTCTTCACTGGCAAAGGCTCTGACTGCACGACCGAAGTCATGGAAGGCAGACGCAGGGACTGTGAGAATGAAGACCTTGGGCCCACTGTAGGAGAGGAACTGGTTTGAGACCATCTTAAAAATCTGAACGGGCACAAGTCCATGGGACCTGATGAAATCCATCCGCGGGTCCTGAAGGAGCTGGCAAATGAAGTTGCTAAGCCACTGGCCATCATATTTGAAAAATCATGGCAGTCAGGTGAAGTTCCCGATGACTGGAAAAAGGGAAATATAACCCCCATTTTCAAGAAGAGGAAAATGGATGACCTGGGCAATTACAGACCAGTCAGTCTCACCTCTGTGCCTGGCAAAATCTTGGAGCAGATTCTCCTGGAAGGCATGCTAAGGCACATGAAAATCAACAAGGTGCTTGGTGACAGCCAGCATGGCTTCACTAAGGGGAAATCCTGCCTGACCAATTTGGTGGCCTTCTATGATGGGGCTACAGAACTGATGGACAGGGGCAGAGCAGTTGATGTCGCCTACCTGGATTTGTGTAAAGTGTTTGACACGGTCCCACACAACATTCTTGTCTCTAAATTGGAGAGACATCAATTTGATGGATGGACCACTTGGTGGATAAAGAACTGGCTGGATGGCCGCACACAAAGAGCTGTGGTCAATGGCTCAATGTCCAGCTGGAGACCAGTAACGAGTGGTGTCCCTCAGGGATCAGTGTTGGGACCGGTCTTGTTCAACATCTTCATAGCTGACATGGACAGTGGGATTGAGTGCGCCCTCAGCAAGTTTGCCTGTGACACCAAGCTGTGTGGTTCGGTTGATACGCTGTAGGGAAGGAATGCCATCCAGAGGGACCTTGACACGCTTGTGAGGTGGGCTGATGCCAACCTCATGAAGTTTAACCATGCCAAGTGCAAGGTCCTACACCTAGGTCGGAGCAATCCCAGGCACAGCTACAGGCTGGGCAGAGAAGAGATTCAGAGCAGGGCTGTGGAGAAGGACTTGAGGGTGTTGGTTGATGAGAAAATGAACATGAGCCAGCTTCAGTGTGCGCTTGCAGCCCAGAAAGCCAACCATATCCTGGGCTGCACCAAAAGGAGCATGACCAGCAGGTCAAAGGAGGTGATCCTGCCCTCTGCTCTCATGAGACCTCATTTGGGAGTATTGTGTGCATTTCTGGTGTCCTCAACATAAAAAGGACATGGATCTGTTGGAACAAGTGCAGAGGAGAGCCACGAGGATGATCAGGGGACTGGAGCACCTCCCATATGAAGATAGGCTGAGAAAGTTGGGTCTGCTCATCCTGGAGAAGGCTGCATGAAGACCTCATAGCAGCCTTCCAGTATCTGAAGGGGGCCTATAGGGATGCTGGGGAGGGACTCTTCATTAGGGACTGTAGTGATAGGACAAAGGGTAATGGATTAAAACTTAAACAGAGGAAGCTTACACTGGATATAAGGAGGAAATTCTTTCCTGTAAGGGTGGTGAGGCACTGGAATGGGTTGCCCAGGGAGGCTGTGAATGCTCCATCCCTGGCAGTGTTCAAGGCCAGGTTGGACGAAGCCTTGGGCAAGATGGTATAGTATGAGGTCTCCCTGCCCATGGCAGGGGGGACTGGAACTAGATGATCTTAAGGTCCTTTCCACCCCTAACTATTCTATAATTCTGTGAAATAGGTTCTTTCAGAACACCTCTAGCTTAGATTTCTTGCACCTTTTTGAGAGAAGGAAACGTCAGGAAAAAGCCAGATTTTACAAAGATGTACCATTAGAGATGGTCTTTTCCTAAGACATAAATGCTAAAGGCATTTTTCTTAAAGGTTCTGCAAAATTGTAGAAAGGAAAGTATAACCTTGTTTCAAGTGTTTGATTACCAATTAATATTCACTGTGTATGAATATCCATATATAATACCTTTAGACTTTTTTATGCAGATCACATTACATACTTCAAAACTGTGACTTTGTTGCTACATCAGTACATAAAAGCAAAAGAACTCATAGCAAAAAAGATCAGATTTTGTATTATAAAGGATACAGACATGACTCTTTACATCATTACGAAGTCCTTTACGAACAAATTCATATGCTTCTTCCTTCTTCCCTAAGCAGTTCAGGGTCAGTCCTTTCATTGCCAGCGTCTCTGTAAGACATATCATATACTTATGTTTCTGACTTCTCATATGCCAGTTTTACAGTGCAGATATCCTTTGAAGTTGTTACACAGTAAAGTTCCTCATTAAAAGATAAATTTAGATCAGGACAGTGGCCTCACACAGCTGAAAACTGTTATAAGGAAACATTTCCTTTCTTCAAAATGGTCTTAAGATCACTGCATATTATCATACAGATGTGATGAACACAAGCAACACTAAGTTTATTAATTAAAAAAATACATTTAACTGGCTCTAAGGGAGTTAGCAATAAGCTAAAGCATTTCTAGGGAGCTTCTCAATGCATGTTAAAGCTCCAGAGTGGGCAGAACAAGAAAAAAACAAAAAATCATTAGACTGTGTCATAGCATAAGAAACCAATCTTCGTCACAGTCAGCTCCGCTAACACAGGTTGCTTACAAAGCATTAGTTGAGAAGCGCATTTCCTGGTATGGTGTTTTGGGGTTAAAAGGCCTTCTCAAAGCAGGAGCATTTCAATCAAAACTGAGAGGCACCAGGTTCCAAATAATACATTGGTATAACTATTGGTTTTCCTTTTCTGCCATTCTTCAAGTAACATCGTGGGAAACAAGCTGCACTAGGCCTGAAAGCTGCTCCAGATTCTTCCCTCCCCCCCCCAAAAAAAAGTCCTATTGAAAAAAAAAAGTTTTGGCTCCTGCCAGAAGATGAGTCACATTTTCATCATAATACTCTAGTTTTCTCTCAATTGCAGCCTTTTCCCCAGTATCAATGGCAATGGTCCACCATCTCAAGGTCAGATGTAACAGCAGTTTGAAGTCTGATAGACCTGTTTAACTGAGTTTTCTGTAGAAGCAGACCTATAGTGAACAATAACCCAAAATGAGCCAATGATTTTGGTTTGTTTTTAAGTTGTCCTACATACACACTGTAAGGACAGAAAAAGCTAGAAGGATGCCTTCCCAGTATTATCAGGGTGCTTGAAAAAAGAATATCCCCACTGTAGGAAGGAGGGCAAGCTACCTTCCCATACCAGGGAATTAACTGCCCAGCCACAGCAGTCCATCTGTTTGCCACCTTCTCCCTACATTTTTCAAATTCCTTGTCTCTGAAGCTAAGTGTGACAACAGTGCAGCTTCCCATCAGATCATTTCATCAGCTTAGCTCTGCTTCAGCTGTTCACTCCAGGCTCTGCTCCCAAGCTTCAAAGCCATTAGTGGCTCAGAGCCCAAGTAGTATGTGGACTGCCAAAGCAGCTAGTTGTTCTGGAAAAGTTTAAGTGGCAGCAAAAGCAGAAAGAGAGAGATGTATACTGATATGTTATAAAAACAAGTGCTAGTAGAGACAAATGCATTAGATCAGAACTGGAAAAGCCACTCCAGCTTTGAGGCAACAAGAAAACTGTAATTTTATCTCTAGGGAAGTAATGAAGACAAAAAGACAGCAGACTGATGGAAGCATGAAAAGGATTAGCTGAACATTTTGCCAAGATTTGACAATGTCAAACAGAAAAATAATCTTACTGACACAGTACAGGCACACTCACTGTTAGGTTACTTCAACAGCAGACAAACAAGAAAAATTCACTGTATCAGAAGGAAAGATTGGCTGAGCCATGCACAGAAACTCTGTAATAGAGTAAGACTAGAGTATCTTATTGAGGATTAAGTTCTGACAGGTTTTGCTGTACAATTTCCTGTAGTATTTATCAGAACAGGATCTCCAGATTCTGTCTTTAGCTTCAAGTCTTAGCACCAACAGTATTACAGTTAACTTTGCTCCTTACAAGTAGCCATTTGGTATGTAGTACAGAAAATTTAAGAATATGAACTTGACAAAAAAGGCAAGATTTTTAATTCATTGGTGGAATACCTTGATGTAATATATATAAAAAAGGCTGGGCTTGCTATTAAACAGGAATGTGGGAATACAAGAAAATCCCACACTATCATTCTGACCCAGAAACCCAGAAAGGCAACTTACTTGGAAGCTTCACTGAAGTGTGCTTCCACCATATATTTTGATCTTCATCATCCCACTGCACAGGAGTGTTTGACTGAACTAGGGTGAAAACTTGGTCTGAAAGCACAAAACCTGAAAATCCCCACTAACTATTCAGTCCTAAGGACACAATCATACTCAGTAACAAGCTCTTTTCTTTCCCAGTAATATGGAATAGATTACACATTTAGGCTCATGATAGGAGGGGGAAAAAAAAACAAAAATACCACCCAAACAAAAACCCCACAAAAAAACTCAAACAATTTTTTGAGTCTGCAGTTACCTCCATGTTCAGCAAATTTTGGGTTAGAGAGGATCATCTTGCAGAACTTGAGTCCATTTTTGTACTGTTTTTGTTCGTAACATTTCTGGAAAAAAAGATGGAATATAATCACTGACATGTATTTAAAAACCAGAGTACCTTAAGATAGTATTCAAAAGCAGTTTTTTCAGCAAGGAATGACTATCAGATCACTAACAGCCTCTAGCTCAATATGACTATTCCTATTACATTGCCTTTTCTCAGCATTCGGAACACTATCTACTTTCATTTACATACAGCCAATGCTCTACCTCATGGCCTCTTTTTTATGAAAAGTTGCTAATACCTTTTCAACAGAAATAGGGAAGGCAAGTAGTAATGTCTACTTGGATTTGGAAATTCTTAAAAGAGAGCCAAGTCAGAAATCCTGAACTTTTGGGAAGGCTTAAAGAGTCTAGACACTCCTTTCAACATCCTATTTCCCTGATGCAGTGACCTCCCAGAGTAAGAAACTTCAGAGAGAAGACTTGTTGCTATGTACACTTTCAGGAGGAACAGAGTAACCATGAAGTTGGACAGACCTGTAATAACCTCAAAAATCTATATACATATATCTGCAGAGGGAGAATTTACCTGGGTATTGAAAGCGAAACAAAACAACCTAATTTCTAGCTGGAATACTACAGATAAGGGCTACTTTTAGACTTACTTAGGTTATCCTAATAACCAGGTATTTAGGTTTACCTAATCACCAGGTAAACTGGCAAACAATGTGGTTCAACTTTGGGAATAAGTTAAAAAAACCCTACATGAGCACCTGGATCTCTTTGCTTCTTTTGAAAGATGCTACCTGATGTTAACAAGACAGTAAGGTCTTAGTAATTTAAATGATTACTGATCACTACAGTTGATCAATTTTAAACAAATTTACTTCAGCCAGTTAAAGGCATGCTTGCCACTGTAGGCGTGAATGACTTACAGTTATTTAAGCTTTTTAACTTGAAGGAAGGAAAACAAACCCCAAACAAATAAGGCTTAATTTGGCACCATTTTCAGTTAACAAGGTGTATTGTCCTGCTGTAATTTAGACAGCTGTTGTCAGGAAAAACAGTGTCATTTCAGTTCTGTCCCTGAGTACTCTTAACGGTCTCATAGATCACTCCCACTCCATCAATCTTCCAGGACAGAGGTAAAGTCTATGTTAAATAATTGCAGAGTGTAGTAACTGCTTTGCAGCCACAATACATCACTGTGTTTCTTCCCAGGATACAAGCAATATAGAAACATGCCTATGCTGACTTTTGGGTAATTGGTTGATGTGCCTCAAGTCTCTGGGATAGGACTTAACTGCAGCAACCTTTGGCAGTCAGCTAAATCACCCCACAAAACAAAGGACAGCTTGCCTTGCTATCAGATGAGGTTGCCTGTCTGACTCCTGGCCGGACAGCCAGGGAGTTCCCATCAGAGGCAACAGTTATACTATGGCAATTAAAATTTAAACAGCAGTAACAAAAAACCTTCAGGAATTTTAAACTGAGACTTAATTTACCTGAAACAGACCAGGTTGCAGTAAAACTTGCAGTTCCTTCTAGGAGGAAGTCCAATTCTCCCATTCACCTATTTTTCTTTCTTAAGACACTTTGTATCGTTTTTAAAGAATCACAAGAAAATACCAACAGTGATCTAAGAGTGCTTTCTGCACTTAATTCAAGTATGTCTAAAAGAGTTAACAGAATAGTGAACATTCATCCACGATTCTACAACTCTTCCAATGTTGAGTGAAACTGCAAATATACAGCAATGCTTACCCATAGAACAGAAGGTATTTGAGTCAAGTGTGCATTTAAAATAGATTAACTTCTTGAGGAAAACACATCTATTATCCCTGTTCTGACATTTTTAGCCTACAGAGTTCAGTCTCAGACCTAGAATAAGAATTGAACTTAATTATAAACAAATTTCAGATTTTTCAGGGAGAAACAAGGTAACATTTTTCTAAAGACCAACAATGGGTGGGGTGGAAATAAGTTATGCATTTATACCAATACATTGGCTTAAATGTTTACCAATGTAAGAGAAAAGGACTTTGAGCAACCTGGTCTAGTGGAAGGTGTCCCTGCCCATGGCAGGGGGGTTGGAACTAGATGAGCTTTACAGTCCCTTCTGACCCAAACCATTCTGTGATTTGATAACAATTACTTGGCTCTCACTTGCAACATGAAGTATACTGAAAGGCAGATTCAGTTACATGGACAAGCCTGGAGCTTTAAAGCACCCAAACATCATGAAAGGCCTACTTTTAAACTTCTGTCTGACCAAAACCTGTGAATGAGTACACCATGCTCCACCTCCATCTTGTTTACAGAAGACCAGTTTGCTGCCATATGATACAGTCTCATTTTGTAGTACAGATAAGAATTTCATAGTTTAGAAACCTGTTATCTCCATATGTATTCTCAAGTTTTGGTCTAATTAGGACAAATACAACTGAAATGTGTTCATTAGTATCTGTTACATTGCATTAAGTCTTTGGTATATTAAAAGCTCAAGCAAATATGCTAGGTTGATTTTTTGTGGGTGTTGGGAGGGTGGGTGTGTGTTGCTGTTTGTGGGTGGGTTGTTTTTCTTTCCTTTCTTTTTTTAAACAGCCTTATCTGTTTTGCCTAACATGAGGCTCCACAGCACCCTTTTATGGCAATAATTTCCTGCTAAAAGTAAAGCCAAATCATGACTGTTTACAGGATTGAAAGCTCAAAGGGAGATTCTGGCAAGGCCAATATGTTATCCAGAACTTCCACTACCAGATGTTCCTGGAAGGATGTTACCTCCCCTGGCAAAAACTCATCCTGGCTTATTCTCTTTTTCAACACTAACTCCAAAATACAAAGTACTTGTAGACTTTGCCGTGCAATTAATCTACATATCAGTTTATGCACCTTCAGAGAACTATCAAGGGCCTCTACATGGAGGTCAATAGGCACAGCATCTAGGAAGGAAATGTAACAAAAAAAATACTAGTAACAAAGATACAATAATGGAGAGCAAAAAAGGAGACTTTAATCCTATGTTACAGCGCTTTGCTACTTCTACTGAGGAACTGCTCTTCATGAATTCTAATTTTTTGTATCCTGCCATCTTTCCTTAGAGCCGAAAACCCTTCCACTACAAAATATAAACAGAATCAGGGATCTGAATGGCTTCCTAACATTACTTATGAAATAGAAGGTCTTCATGTGTCACAAGTCAACTGCATATGCCATTCACATGTAACTTATGGTTAACTATCTGTAACATAAGATTAGTAAAGGATGCTTTTAAAGACTACCCTCCCTGGACAAATCATTTGCCACTTAAAAGAAGTCTTGTATTAAGAGAACAGCTACATTTTTCACGTACTGAAGACAGAGTTTCTGTCAGCAATTTTATGGCTGAAGAACATCTCATTATGGCCCTCAGACATTAACACTTAGTTCTGAGAGGCCATCTAACAAAAATTCACAACCAGCTGCTCAAAGAAAGACTGCAGCTGCAGCAACCAATTCCCTTCCTCACCCGGTCCCTAGTGCCTCTGTACTAAGTGACATTATTTCATAAATCATTTTTGTAAAGGCTGAATAAAATGTAACACATTCCAAGAATGAGAACTGGTACTGCATTAAACCAAACAACAGTGTTGAGTATAGCAAATATGCTTCCTTGATCAACTTAAAATGTTTTAATAAAGTTGTTGAAGATGGTTTGTGACCGTAACAGAGCTGCAGTGAAGAAGCTTAATCCAAGTGAGACACAATGACCAGGTTCATGATGACCATGTGTAAAGGGGCCTTACAAGAAAGATGGGGACAGACTTTCTAATACGGCCTGCTGTATTAAACTGGCCAAGGGGTAATGGTTTTAAACTAAAAGAGGGGAGACTCAGACTAGATATTAGGAAGGCCTTTTTCTATGATGTCAGGCTTTGTAAGAACAATGTTGCTTATCAGTCTCCCTTGCTACTATACTTCCATTTAATCTCACTTGCAGACCTCTCAGCACTTTGACAGAGTTTCAACATTCTTCTTGCTAGGTAGCATCTTCCTAATGGGAGTGAGGAAGGAACCCAAGAACTGGATCTGGAATGCCTAGAGAAAATGACAAAAGTTACACATCAAGCCCTACGGAAAGCAATGCTGGAAGTCAGCTGTGCTGGCAGTCTGTCCATACCCCAATGATCAACAAGTTCAGTAATAAAAAAAACCCTCAAAGTTATCACTGACTGCAGTTCTGACAGGCAACTTTTCCTACGAGCTATCTGACAAGTATTTAAGGGCTGTTCAAATTATTAATACACATTTCTAACCAAACCCAAGCACAATCAATACAGGAACATGAGCACACTGACAGTATTCTTAATTGGCTTTTAACACTTGTACCTTTTCAAAAGCCTTGCTTTATTGCACATCTGTAAAACAATGTAATCTATATCTAACAGACAACCTATGCTTCTCACAGCAACTGATGAAATTAGTTAGCAGAGTACCTTATTCAGATTTTGGGCAGAAGTCAGTATTTACTGTACCTGTGCTAACAAATAATAATTACTAAATTATTCACCGGTTTGACGGCAAGGTCTGACACCACCTTGTTTGACTTACATATGATTAAGTTCTGAAGGAGTTCAGCATCTGTATTGGAAATGCCCCGTGGATCATTAAATAGTTGGATACTATGCAATACTGATATAGGAAAAGAAAGCATCACAACACTATTAAATTACAGAGACGGACAGAGGTTCCCCAAACAGCAACCCTTTCTCCACACTTATTTCCATTCACTGATGTTTGAGAGAACAGGGCGGGGGGGGAGGGGGGAAGTGTCAGCTGGATGGGGCTTCAGCTCATGAAGGCCAAGGAAAGAGTTCACTACTGGCCTCCTGCTCCCACAACATCTTTGACTCCTAGTCCCAGGGCGACCCTTTCAGAGTATCAGTGAAATTATATTTCATTCATATATATGAAGTAGAAATACTACTCTTTCCCCCAAATCCTACTGGTATTTTATATATGTATGGCCACCCCAACTCTGCTGGTAAGAGTGGTTAACTTCATCAGCTGAAGTAAGAGGAAGGTAATGTAGCTCCAGCCTTGCTTGCTCAGCTATTGAAACAGACGGGCCACATAGGTCTTCCCCAGACCTGATGACTTGGTAATGCAGAACAGTGCTGAGTCAGACCACAGATGGTGGTGCACAACAGAACAAGTGACCAGCATCATATACAGTGATAACATTTTGATCAAAGTACTAATATCATGGTAATATCCAAGATTTCACCATCATGATTCTTTGCATGCAACAGCATTTTTTCCCTTTGCTTTGAAAGGGCAGAAACAACAGAATACGCAGTCAAAAGAGCTCTTGCATACAAGTACTTAGAATGTGTATCTTCCTCACTATTTGAGTTTTGAGTTCTCTACCATTTATGAACACATATGCCCTTGTGAAGCAGAAAGCATAACAGCAACACTAGAAATTAGACAAGTCATACCACTGTCATACATCTTCACCTAGTTTTTAACCTGCACTTTGTGTGGAAGTATTGAAGAGACCCATCTGCTACATCTCCTGGGATAAAACTATAATTTGCTTAGCAAGAACTCACTAACAAATGAAACCATCAACATCAGCACGGTTTGGTGAGACCCGATATATACACATACACATATATATTTATATATATTAAAAAATTCCAGGCTTTTAAAGAGTTTCATTTCTATTTAGACATTTTAAAAGCAAGTTCACAGCAGTTACCAATAAAAGCCTTAAAGTTTACTTCACCTCAATGTTCCATAAAAGATTTCAGTAATTCATACAAAAAGGTTGCATGAATTAACAGATCAGGCCAGAGAGATCAAACTCACCTGCTACAGGCTACTAAAGGCAAGATAAAAGTGTTAAGCATGTAGGGAGGGGCTTATGAGCAAGACCACCATTATTACAGTTCTCATCAGAATGTTCTCAGCCTCCACTTATCTGTGCCTTACCAATCCTCTGAACCAAAAGAAACATCTTAACACATACAAAACAGTAAAGGCTTCCCCTCCACACACCTCCTCCTCTCAAAGTGCCTAAATCTTTCCATAGCTACTACATTTTGCACAGCAAAGGGTTCCACAGTATAGCTACCTTCTTGTTAAGAACTGTTTGTTTGGACCCTAACAGTCTGCAGCCACCACTTCTACCAAAATAAAAGCTAGGCAGGATAGCTTGAAAATAGGCAAGTCTCTAACTTCTCCAAATCATTCATAATTTCAGAATCTTAATTTTTTTCTCCTTCAAGAAGGTCATTTCATACTTGCATCCTTCTTCTGAGGAGGCTTATGGGTGGGGGCAGGGCAAGGGAAACAATAATGCACACAGTGTTGCACACGCAGACTTGTAGTGTACCTCAGTGGCATAACAGCCTTTTTCTTTTTTGAGGATTCACCAGCTTTCAGCTTCTGTACAATGCAAGTGTTTTAACAGATCCTCCAACCTGAGCAATCCAGCTCACAGCCCACATTAGGTCTACATCAAGTTAGGATTTCCAAGCGTAACATTTATCTACAAACAATTTTACTTGCTATCATTCAACTTACTCCAGAAAAATGAAGTACTTCTGCACAGCCTACACTTCTTGTGTGAGTACCTTAGTACAACTGAACTCTTCTCACTATTCATCACTTCTTCTGTTCAATATAACCAAAGGCAATTAGGAAAAAGTTCCAGCACAAAACACAATGGGACTTCATTCTGACAAGTTATCATTTATTCACATAGGAACTTTCCTTAAGAAAAGCCCAGAGTGAATAACCAACCGGCACCATTCCATGGAAGCTTGCTTTATAAGTCTTCCACAGTGACATTTACAAGCTCCTTTTGAAAAATGAAGAATATTTATTTGGAATAAATTCTTCTCTAAATCAGACTCACTAAAATCATTGACAACTGTGAAGTATGATTTTCCCTCATGGAAGTCTTATGGGCTCTTACCATTACTCTAGTATTTATCCTCCACAATTAAAGCAGCAAACCTTATTTTATACAAGAACAGTATGTGGAATTCATTAAGAAATCAAAGAATTAATTATTTACAGACATGATACTATCCACAGTTTTATCAGGCACAAAACAAACATTAGACAGTATCTTACACTGTGTGACACTGGGCACACACCAACAGTTACTACAAGACACTAAACATTTCTCAAAAACAAAAACAATTTGGCAAGCATGCCATGAGAATATGACAACAACCTTGCAGCTTTCCTCTAAAGCACTCATAAGGACTACTACTATGCTCTGCACAGACAGGGCTGATTTAGTTTTAAGCTTTGGCTTCACAGAATCACTTTTAAGCTGAGGCACAGTTTATAATCTGGGTTCTCAGGTGAAGGGGAAAAAAAGCAAAACCCAAAGCTGCTTAAACCAAAACATACTTTGAAGGCAAGCTTACAACTGTTTTAAAGACACAAATTAAAAGATCTGCCTAGGCTTACCAGAAATAAACACCAAATGGACATTACCAAACTTCAATGCTAATAACACGAAGCATTTTTAAGCTACCACACATACGTGTTTATTTTAGATTACATCTGCCCCATCCACTTAAAAAGTCACATGAGCCAAAGACTGATTTTAAGTGGCAAGAAACACCCAAGCATTCCTGTATTAATTCTCCTTTATGGACGCCTTTCTCTCTTCTCATAAAGGGGGAGCCAGGAAGCTTTCAAACACTTCCTCCATGCCTTCTGTGAGACCGAGAAGTGAAAGAGAGGAGCTTGAAGTTGCTCAGCCCCTCCCTCTCAAGCAACACCACCCCTGCAAGCACCATCACAGCTCCCAGGGGAAGAGCACCAGTTTGAGGAGCCACCTCCCCGCGTTAACAAGGGCTTAGAAACAAAACAGACCTGGAAGTCAGGACAGTGAGAAAAACAAGTGCTAGCACTACCTTGCAGTAGTATTGAGAAACTAGAACTATTATCTATGCTGCAATTGTTATTAGTTCTCTAATCACATCACAGCTAGTTTTATGTCAGCTTCTTCAAGGACTGCCAAGCATACAGGCACATAAATTGATGTGGCTTAAAGACTGTTTACTCAGCTTCTTGAGCAGACTTCAGAGCTCACACTGAACTCCAGGAGGCCACACTAGTTTAGGCAGCTCTAGTAAGATTGGTTTGCTCTTATTCAGTTCTTGTTCTTGCATGTTACATACACACACCAAGTCACTGACTCCTAAGTAATTCCCATGATCTCCAAATGAGGTTCCCATTTCATAACTGCTAATTCTCCAGAGTGTTTGTAAAAATATTTCATCTTAATATATGACTACAGTTTCCTTGCATCTGTTCCAAGTCATTAAATCCCTACAAGCTTGTGAGGTGTTATACAGCCTCCCACATACCCCCCTCCCCCCAATTTTTAAAATGCCCATAGTATCCCTAATAATTTCAAGCATTCTGGCAGCACCAGAGTAGGCCAAAAGCTGCCTCAGCACTATAAGCTATACTACTACACTAAAACCCTCTGAAACATGTCAAGCAACAGCAGGGTTCAACTTCTACTATGCAGGCATTAACATTCCAGAAAAAAGTGCACCATGAAAAAGTCAAAGCTAACTAGAGAAAGTATTTCAAGAGGTATCAGTGTATGATGTGACAAGCTAACAAGCAGAAGTTTGTGATTACCACTTCAGGAACTGTGACCAGCCACTGAAGCCACACAGGCTTCACTAAAGTTTTATGCAATTCTTTTTCCTTGCCTAAGCACTTATGCTTTGTCCACTGCTTAGTTTAAAAGGGGAGGGGAGGGAGTTGTCTAAAATATGAACTCCAGTAAAACTCTTCTACATTCCAGTTGAAAAAAACTTCAGAAGTGACTGTTACTGCGAACTCGTTTGCTACTAGTAAGAATAATTACTTAACTGTTCTAATATTAGTAATTTATTTTTAGCAGAGAGAAAGAGGAGTGCTAGAATGACTTACTAAGATGCATACCATAAGCATGCAGTAAGCAACAAATCACCATTAAGAAATACTAAGCCTTAAAACCTGCCTACTACCCAAACCAAAAGTAAAAGAAAACAGTTACGAAGCACCTGCTGAAATGCACTAGTTACATACAGAGTACACAGGCTTACACGCTGTTTATTCGGAGCTCAGCTTCCTGAAGCTGAAACGCTCACCTCTTAAGCACAGTTACTGAAACCAGCCTAACAAATCTCAATATAACTGAAAAAACTCGTGCCTGCCAACAGATTACCACTGCGCTGCACAGACCTCCTCTGCCCACAGATAAGCAAACTGGCACAAAACTTTGTTAAGGCTGGAACCCCATTACTATCACACAGAAAAGTTAATGAAAAGGATAGTCTGGTGTTTCAGCTGTGGGTTGTGGTGTTTTTTCTTCTTGGGGTGTGCATGTGTGCTTTTTATTTCCATAGAGTTAGCATTATAAAATATGACAGTGGTTGAGCAGAAACTTAAAGTGAGCTCTTTCTTCAAAGTTACCTCACAAACACTAAACGTTCTTTTCACTGTTAGATCTCAAAGAGCTGAAGGAGCCCAATATAATAATTGAACGTGCACAGAGAAATTGAGACAAGTCTTCCAAAGGACATACAGAGTCATACTTTAAACCACCAGGCGCCTTCAACTACATTTAAGACGGCTCAGTGAACTAGTTTTAATCTAGTCCCTATGCTAAAACTGACGTTCTTGCTGACAAAGAAGTACCTATGGACATCGGCTTTGGAACACCAAACCCCCGCGACGCTCGCACCGTGCTCCAGGGGATTCTTCTACGCTCCCAAGCGCGGTGACACGGGGGAAACAGCACACGCACCCCGAACCCAGACCCGCAGCGGGGATGGGATGACAGTTTTCCCCGAGACGCCGCTTCCACCCGCCCGCTAGACCGCGGGCACTGCGCGGGTACGGCCCGCCTCCGCCCGACTGCGGCGGGAGGGACAAGGAGGACGGAGCGGCGACGGCGCGCTGCCGAGCCCCGCGGCCGACGCTCAGCTTGGAGTCACCGTCCCGGGCAGGGAGCCCGGAGAAGCGCGGCCCCGGGTGGCTGGCCGGCTCCCGCCCTGCTTCCCGCCCTCGCCCGGCCGGGGGCGACACCGGCCCTTGCCGGGCCCCCACACGACAGAGGGGGGCTCTCCCGGCCTGCTCGGCGGGGCCCAGACAAAGGAAGGTAACGTGGACGAACCGGGACGAGACAGCAGCAGCCCCAGCTCCCCCGGGCAAGAGCGCCCGCCACATCCTTCCTCGCTCAGCCGGAGCCAACTCCAGCAGCGGGCGAAGTAACCCGCGCCGTGGGTCGGAGGACACCGAGCGAGACCAGTGTGCGAGAGTAGCGAAGAGCGGCGGCGGAAGGAAGAGAGAGGTGCGGGACCGGTGGCTCACCAGGATCCGCTTGAAGAGGTTGCTCTCCTTGGGCGGCAGCGGCACGGACGGCATGGTGCGGGCGGCCCCGGGGCAGGCACGGCTGCAGGGACAGAGGAAGGAAAGGAAGGGAAGGAGAGCTGGCGGGGGCGGCCCGGGAAAAGCGGCTGTCGGTGTGGAAGGGAGGAGCGGGAAAGCGAGGGGAGGCAAAGCCCGAACTCCGCGGGGCGGCAGCGGCGCGGCTCCTGCCCGAGCGGCGACTCTTCAACTCATTGGCCTGCACCGCCCTCCCCGCCGGCTCCCCTCAGCCGCGGCGCGCGAGCGCGGCCCCTCTGCGCAGCTGCCGGGGAGGCCTCGCCGCCGCCTGACGCTGCAAAATGGCAGCCGGGGTCCCCTCCGCGCAGGCGCACAGCGTCCGGCGGCCCCCGCCGCTTCCCTCTCAGACACGGGCCCCCCCCCCTTGCCTCATGCACGCCCTGTCCGAGAGAACGCGCAGTTTGCTGGTGGCGGCTCTCCCCTCTCGGCGGCACTGAGGGGAGTTACCTGCCGTGAGCAAGGCCGGCGGGCGGCCCTGTGGGGGGCTCCCTCGGCAACGCCCAGAGGGGAGGAGGGGAAACGGGGCACCCACCCGCGGGGATTGTTAACAAATGCTAACTCTCGCTCGCCCAAGTCATGGCTGCGTCCAACGCGAGGGCTGCGGCAGCCGAGTGAGGAGGAGTTTGCAGCTTGTGGCCTCTCCCAGTCTCGGCTGGAGGGCAGAAACCCGCTTTGCGCGCTCGCTGTTCTGCCTCTCTGCCCCTAGTAACCTAGTTTTGGTGGCTGCTATCCCAACAGCGCGTTTAGAGTGGGGCTGTGGAAAGCCAGGCTGCCCGAGGGCCCGGGAGGGATTGCTGGAGGAGAGCTAAGTCCCTGGAAACTGCAGCGCATGGAGAGGCTGCGTGCTTGCTGTGCCCTGGCTGGTATTTAAGGAAACAACAGCAAACTTCGCAGACTAGGAGCGAGCGGGGATGTCATCTATTGCATTAATGCATTTTTCAGCAGTCGGTTATGTAAAACTATCGTGCATGCTTACAACAGTGAGAGTTTAATCGTGGCTTTGCTCCTTCGCCAAAGGAGGTTTAAGGTCTTTTGAGAATAGATTATTATTATTATTATTACTATTTCCAGAAATGGTTCTTAAATGAAACTTTGCAAAAAAATTAAGAGGTAAAAAAACCAACCCAAACACGTCAGACAAACAGCAACATTAAAACCACATGGCCTGGAGCATTTCCTTAGAAAGAAAACTGGTTAAACTGTCAAGGTTACAGCCAATTAAAGAGACCATCTCACAGGGCAAAACATTAGTCAGCTTCAGTTAGAATTCCTTTATGTAATTACCCTTGAAATATATTAATTATATTTTGATATGTATTAAAAGGACATTAATTTTGTAATACATGGTTACCCACCTACTGTGCCTGATGATGACTAGGATAGGCACGAGGTTCCTACCCACAGTAAAGCAAGCGTGTGGAAAGCAGTATATAATGAGCCAATTTAATCAGTTTATGAGCTTAAAATATTTGGTTATGCATAAATTAGGTGACTTGTGGCCATGACTGAGGATTACAAGAAGCAGGTCTTTGACTTCTTGCAAGTGTTGCTGAAGCTGATGGATATTATAGCTGCTTTCCTTTCAGGCTGAAGGAAAGAAAAAGGGAGTAGACAATTTCTTGGAAGAGAGTGACCTGGACAGTGGCCTAACTTGGGGACTACTAATTAGAAAAAAGTAGTAGGCTTTGGGAGCCTCTTGAGATAAAAACAGCGAAGGCAAGGAGAATGCTAAAGAAGTACAGCTATCTTTTCCTAGTTCTTAGCTGAGGATCAGTTTATGGCAAATGTTGTGGGTGGTGGTTGTTTTCAGTGTTGTTTTGTTAATCTGGTTAGAACTATGGTCTGTAATAAGTTTCTTCATATCTTTATTGTGTTTCTTCCTCACGTTTTTGTTCTGACATGCTTCTAATGATGTCAGTCACCTGGATCACTGATAGCAGTATTGTGTGTTTTCCACATGCATTTTCAAGTTCACTGTTCCTTCTGCTAAATGACATAGTACTGCTGTATTCAGTATCTGATTTTCTACAAAGCAGGAATACTTTTGACAAGGATGGACAACTTGTCTTTGCCCTGCTGCATCATTTTCAGAGCCTATTTGTACCACAGCACGTATTCAGCACTTTTTGTAACTAGCCTTGATTTTATGAACTCTAGTTTCCCGTCTTAGCAAAAGACATGTCTCCAGTGGAGTTGAGTGATAAACAGATGCATCTCCAAGATGGTCAGGCAAATATTGTGCTAGGTGGACCTTTGGTCTGAAGCAGTGAGGTTGTTCTTGACAGCTAAAGGTCTCTGCTTCCTGGAAAGAATGCTACCTGAAAATCAGCAAATTGCAAATAAGAGGCACAAGCTTGATTTGCATTTAGGTATTGCATTAGGTGTCTGTATTCAAATTCTGGATTAAAAGCAACAAGAAAAGGAAAGCAAGGAGGCAATAAAAATGTTTGTAGACTAGCTGGGAGAGAATAAACAAAAACAAGCTTTTTGGGGAGGCAGAGCTCTCGTTGAAAGTGAGGTTTGGGAACACAGTCAAGAAAACTTGTCATTTAATCACACTGCTGGCCAAAACAAAGCGCTTTCTACAGGCTTTGTTAATAAACAGGACTGTATTCAAGACGCGTATGATTCTGTCACCAGTTGTTCCTTCAAACAGAAAGAATTCAGAAGTCTGTAGACAAACTGTTTAGGTTGAAAGGGCGGGAGCAATGTTAAAGTGATAGATACTTCCTAACACCGCTTGTGATTTTGCCATGTCTTTCACATTATTCCATGACCTGTCAGTGTCAGTTGGTATCTATAGAAGTTGCAGCAGGATGCTTGCAGACCGCTAACTCCAGTTAGGGCCCCCTGGGTGAAAAAGGGCCTCCATGAGGGCATCGACCTGCCTTCCAGCCAAGCACATTGTAAGGCCTGGAGCCTGTTTTGTTTGATAAGCCATTTCTTTGCCTTCAGTTTCTAAAGCAATTGGCAGGTTAAGATTGCCCTTCTGCACCGACCATGGGCTGCCGTGGTTGCTGAGGAAGGAAATGGCACTCTGCCCCAAGCAGCCTTCACCCCATAACCCTGGGTCTCACAGGCTCCACAGGCAGCTGCTTCAGCCACGCAGTTTTTAAGGTATCAAAGCAGTCATAAAGGGGATGGGAGTACAGACAGCGGTGGGATTTCCCATCTTTTATACTCAATTCCCATATCACGTTCTAAAAGCATAAGTAAACTTAGGGAAAGAGTATATCTTACATGTTTTGAATACAAGATGCATGGACTATGTCCTGTGGTTGAGAGTGTATCTGGCAACCCTAACTGGCAGTATAGTGTGCAGCCCTTGTCTTGGCCATGTGGTCACTCTGTGACCTGCTGCCTGCTGGGGAGAGCAAGCTCAAGAGTTTGTTACAGTCTCTATTCACACTTAAATGATTTGCTCGCAATCAAATCTGAATCATGATCGCATTTAATCAGAGGATTTAATGTAAGAACCATTACCAGCTGGAGTAGAAGCTGCTTTAATTTTTCTTGGCCTACCCTACTCTTTAAAATCAATTTTTGAGTGTGTGGTTTGCTTACAGTTTTCACGTTCATATTGTTTTTGGTTGTCCTCCCTTACATTACCTTCCCAAGTATCAGATTGCACATTTGTAGCCCAATGCAAGGATAATTTCACTGAGGTGTAAACCATAGTGGATGAAGGGTGAGGCGTGGTGGGGATGGTGTCTGGACAAGGGCATCTCCCACAGCGCAGCACTGCAGGCTCAGGCCAGGGGAAGAAATATTGAGGTTTCAAGATGATGCTTGCTATGGCCTTTCTCTAGCTTGGATCAGCTCTGGGGTGGATCCCATTCTCTGGAAGAGTCTTTTAATCTGTCTGTCTTACATTCTGTCCCAGTGGATAGAGCCAAGACACAGTCTGTCCTCAGATCTACATTACTGGTCAGTTATCATTTGCGTGCTGGTGAGATTGGATTCAAGTCATCCCAGTGGTGTTTTATGTGCCACATACCAAATTTTTACCTTCTTTTGTTAATTCTATTGAATGACAGTAGCTGGGAAGAAAGCTTTTTAGGTGATTATAGGTATAAAAATACCCCAGTGTTCCTGAAATCTTTTTAAATGGGGCTTTGAGCAACCTGGTCTAGTGCAAGGTGTCCCAGCCCATGGTAGGGGGTTTGGAACTAGGTGAGCTTTAAGATCCCTTCTAATCCAACCCATTGTGTGATTCTATGATAATTAGAGAGATAGTTGAATAATCTGTTTAATATTATCTATTAAAGTGTGCATATGCATAGTATCTTTTAAAGAATACCTTATTAGGAAGCCACAGCCTGTTAGCATAATGATAAATCTGAACAGTTCATTAGTATTTAGTAAATGGTGTTTGTCTTTACTAGTGTAGTTATAATTCATTCTAAGTATAATTGAACGGTGAGCTTTGACATAAAGTGCAACTTAACGTAGTTTTATGCAGACTTCTCTGAAATTAATCTTTTAGTAACCAGGTGTGAAACATTTATTTCCAGCCCATGTTTTGGGAAAATACACGGAAAAATATATGTAATATAGTAGCTTGGAGGCTGGAAAATAAAAGGTATTCCCATTTGTTGTCACTCCTGCCATTTCTTCCAAAGCACTCCTGGAGCCAGAGTGCGTTACTGTACAGCTGCGAGGATATCGACAACGAAGCGCTGTTTTTAAGGTCGCGTTCCCCATTTTTACTTTTCATCTCGGGTCTTGCTTTTAACAGAGCAAAGCTAAGTTACCTTCCCCGGCAGCGCTGCTGGAAGGCCTGCGGTACGGGCAGCCCCGGCGGAGGAGGCAATGAAGGCAAGGCCGGGCGGGCTGAGGCACGGCGGGAGTCGTGCTCTTCAGTAGGCATGCTGGGACTGGGAGCTTTTCCGCCCCACTTCCCGTCAGCCATGGCCTCCTGTTCTGAGGCGGGGTCCGGCCGCTGCCGAAGCGTACGGGAGGTGAGTGCCGGAGTTTCCCGGCGGCTGCTGAGAACCGGAGCCGAGCCGAGCCGAGACCCCGCGCCCCTCGCGGTCTGCTCCAGCCTTCCCCGCCAGCCAGCCCGCCCGCACCCCCGCGATGGGGCAGCGCTGGCCCGGGCACTTCCTGCTCGGCTTTCGGGTGCTTTGCTGGGGGCAGCAGTGCAGTGCAGTGTCGGGCGGGTGCGGTGTGTGAAAGGCTGGCTCGGGGGCACGGCACTGAGCCATCCCTGTTAGCGTCTGCATCGAAACTCAGCCTCCTTCTGTGTACCTGTGTACTGCGTGTCTCAGTTCGGTTTTATGGGGTTAATAGCATCTGCGATTGACAGAAGTTCCTTTAAAAATCTCTAGAAGTGTTCACAATATTCATAACGCTTTCCTGTACGGAGAGATACAATTTTTAATAATTTTTTATTTAACTATTTTTTTTCTTTGGAGCACAAGTCTTATGAGGAATGCCTGAGGGAACTGGGGTTTAGTCTGGATAAATCTCACGGAGATGCTGTTTAGTGCCTTCATTTTCTCAGAATCCACTTTCTTTTAAAAATCAGTAGACAGATGGGATTGCAGCACTGGCAGAGATACCAAGGAGCGCTTCTTTATTTGTTAGACCTTTTCTGTGTGGGTAGGCCTAGAACATGAATTATTTCCTCTTGGTAGACCCCTGCATTCCAGTATAAATTTTTAGAGCACAGCAAGAATTCATAGCATAACTTGCAACACTGATGGTAGAAAATGAAAAGATCTTCCCTAAAGCAGCAGTTGATGCTTAGGGGAGCCTCATACCCTGCAAAGCTGTAGGCCAGTTGTCTCAGAAAATACAGGTTGTATTTCAGGGTACCAGTTTCTTATGAACTTTTCGGATGGAAAATATTTATATCATGTATGTGTAAATACATCAGAGGAAGGAGTATATGGAATATAAAGCACTGTTCCCGTGTCTTACATAGTATGTATATGGGGAATTTCTTGCAAGTATCTTGGGGTCCTGTTGACTAATCTGTTTCAGGGGCTGTTTGCTGTTACTGGTGTTCGCTGACAAAATTATATCCTGTTACAGTAGTGGATATAATTTTGCACATAATTCTGGACTTCGCATACATTCTTTACGTAGAATTCTGTACCTTTGGATAGATTTTCTCTCAGCAACGTTTTCCTTTCACCAATAAGGTGGTTGAATTTTTCTCAGGGAGACATGGCAAGATGAAGCTGTTGTCTGTAAAGCCGTATCTACAGTATGAATAAACTTAAGTTTGAGGAGGTGAGGGAAAATACCATTTTCAACCATCAGCCAGAACAGTGGTGTTGGTAAGAGCTTCTGGTTTAAAGAAGGACTAAATCAGGAATAGTTTTGTTCATAACAGTTGCATTTTTGTTGGTCCAATCAGTTTGGGCTTGATAGAGTTCTATGTTTGTTTGTTTTTTAACAGCATGACCTCTTTTTCTGGATAATAACACTGGTCCATGTATTGTATACTTTTAATTTCAGCTGGTGGAAAAATAAGAAGCAAAATGAAACCTTTCCAAAGGGTCTGTCGTTTCAAGAGCCTGCTTGCCAATTGCTGCTGTCACGGTCAGCTTCACAGCTGTCTTCTCCCTCCCACTGCAAAGAAGATAGGTTGTGCAGCGGGACTGCACAATGGTGGATTTTGGAAACCAAAATCTTTATTGGACACGGCTAGATTCACTCTGTCTTTTAACAGCAGGCATAGGAAAAACCATCAGGATTCTCAAGCATTATGGAAGCAGGAAGCAGTGCAGAAATATCTGGAGACACTAAGCAAGGAATACCAGCAGGTTAGTCATCTGTTAAATGCTGACTCAGTAAATGACTTTGAGCAAAGAACCCTGAGGAGAAGATGTGCCGATCTGTCCCCAATTGCAGCTGCATTTCAGAAAATCAAAGAAGCTGAAAAAGAAGTTCAGGAGTTAGAAGCTATGTGCAAAGGTAAGGAGAACACATCTGCTTACTTCTTTCAAAACAGTCACGTTTCTTGCAATGAACTTCATTGCCCAGCCTTTGAGGAAAGCTTTGAAATAACTAAAGCCAGACCTGGAGCATGCTCTGGTCCTTCCTGCTTCTTGGGAGCTTGTGTGTTGCTAGGGCTTTCTCCTTCCAGACGCATCTTTCCAGTTTTCATGTCACCTTACTTCAGTTTCAGATTTTCATACAGACAATTTGGGAGAGTAGAGATCATCTGTATTCTAGCAGAAATAATTTGGAAATGTTTGTTTTAAGGTTGTTTTTCATGGAACTGAGAGCAACGTGAACTGAAGGAAAAAGATTTGGCAAGCTTAATACATTTGACATATGCAGACTTTACCCGTGTTAATTAAAATGGAATTCCATCTAGCTGTTTATTGATACTTATAGAGCAAATTACATGAGCTTTCATTAGGCCTAGGATTGTCAGCTTCCAACTGAAATGGCAAAAGCAAACACTCTCTGAGAATATTCAAGGAGTCCTTCAAGGAATAAAAATTGATGGTTGGTTGAGAAGCTTCTGCTTTTCAGTAATCTGCTACAGTAGAAGTTGGGTAAAAAAAGAATACCTTTCAGGAATAAGACTGTACACAGGGAATAAGATCACTAATGGTGCAGCATTTCAAGAAAAAAACCACCTATTGTTAGAAGAGTAGGGGCACACAAACATCTATTCTCCTACACCGATAGGTAGTAAGAGAGGGAAACATTGGCCTGGAGAGGATGGAGCTTACACTGAAGTAAAGCAAAGGAAAAAGCAAAGGACAGGAGAAAATGAGTAGCCAGTGGTGTAAATGGAGGAGGATGAGAGTTCATGGTGCTTTTCAGGGGGACAGCCAAGGGGTGTGGGCAAACTTAAAAAGGCTGGTTTTGGAGCAAGTAAATATAATGAAGAATTTTTCTAATTCCATAAATTATGATGTGGCTAAATGGATTGTGTTCTGGTTGAAAGGAGGGAAAAGAATGAAAAGAAGATTACAGCCCAGAAGTTAATTAAATGGAGCCAAATTGTTCTATATGTACTGTTTATCATGTGGCCGTGTTAAAACACAGATGTTCATGTCATCTGACTGCTCTTTGTTTTCTGTTTAACTCCCTAAACTGACCCTTTTCTCTGTAGTACCTGAATTCCTCACAGTTGCTATTGGATTTTATATTTGCAATACTCAGTGAAGCATACAAACATTATTTGCTGGTTTGGCACCAGGTGATGTGAGTCAGAGGGGTAGGTGAAGTGAATTCTTAGAGGTCAAGTTTGCAGGGAGGTAGGAATGGGGCACCAGTGTGATGTGACCAACAACGACCACCAATATTCACATAAGTGGTACTCCAGTATTTCCCTGTGTTTCTTGAACCGGGGAGCTCAAAACTGGACATGGTACTCCAGATTGTGGAGAAGGAAATCTCCTTAGGCAAAGCAAAGATCTCAGGTGAGGTCTCCCACCTCCTGATGACTTGCACCTCCCATGTCTGTGACCTCTTGAATAGCAGGAGACAGAAAGTTAGGAACCTCAGTGGTATCGTCATAGCGTTATTTGTGGTGCTCACCTTAACAAGTTGCCTACAAATTGTTGAAGATATGGGTGTTTCTGGGCAAGTCGGGAAATTAAAAATCTTACTGTGTGAAAAATTGCAGTAAAAGAAACCAAGGCACAGCTTGTCTGCAGGCCTGGTTTTAACATATTTTATCAAATCCATTTGTGTATTTATGCCTGGGTTGTCAATCTTTATGACATAACAATTAGTATTACTGAGAGTAACTGTCAGGTGGGACTGGCATCTATTTGATGTAGACTTTGAACCCTAAGGTAGAGGTTGAGAGGTAGGTTATCCATTACTCCTTCCAGCACACCTGGAAAATAGGATCATTTAGTTACTAACATGAATCCTGGCTTGGGCTGCTCATACTTGGTATTTCATGCTGGCAGAATGCAGCTGCAAGCTTCTGTGTGCTGTAGTGCATGTCTGTGGACAGCTGTATTACAGTTTGCTCTAAGGTAAGCTGCTGCTAAACCCAGGACAATTGACTAACATCTATTCCTATTGTTGGAATTTAGAGCTAGATAGCAGAGATGAGAAACAACTTCTAGAGCTTGCCTTAGAAGAGAAGGAGACCTTGGATAAAAAAATCAACGTGTTGTGCAGAAAGGTGAGCCCGAGATAAAATTACACAGCTTTGTAAATAAAGATGTCAGAAAAGCTTTCCTCTGTGATCTTATCCATAGGCTCTGACACTTGTGTTTAGTAAATGAGAAGTCCACCTTGTGTATTCTCCCTGAAAAGAAGTGGCAACATTATTTGTTAGCTTCTTACTGACAGTTGTGTCTCAGCAGCTTATTATTTTAGTCACTTTTGCTTGCGTGCTTGTCTGTCTGCAGATGCTGAAGGGGATTAAAAAAATGGTGAGCCTGTGCTATTGAGACTCGACATGACACCCTGGTAACACTCTGTTGGCAGTGGAGCATGTACTCTTGAAAGATTTCTTGTTGGAACTTTCAGACTTCCATTTTCTCTTCAGCTGACAGCACCCAATGAGTGGGGAAATTAATTACAAGCAGAGGAGCTGAAATGATTCAGTGGAGAGCTCTGTGATTGGGCTCATTTCTATGTTCACATTGAAATAACATGAAATGGGACTTTCTGAAAAATAAGATGAATGTAAAGATTGTCTGGGTTATAGGTGATAATTTTGTGTTCAGAGGTAGTTGGGGCTGGAGCAGGTAACCCGGCACTGGACTTTACAGGATTGAATTTTCGGGTAGCTTTCCTGTGGATGCACCAGCACATCCCATTTCCACAGTGATTGCACTGAGCTGCAGTGGCCAATGGACAGTTTTTAGTCCTACTTACCAGTCTGCCAGAATAAATCAGTGATGGTGTGCTCTCAAGCTGTGGCAATTGTCAAGACTGGCTGTAAATTTGATTAGGAGGAGATAAAAAGTCGTGAAGGAGATAATGACTTTTTCCTTTCTTTCTTTTCAGCTTTTCCAGCTTCTAGTGCCAAAGGAAAAATATGATAAAAGTCATGTCATACTAGAAGTGACAGCTGGCAGAACAACTGGAGGTCAGCAAAGTCTCCACAGTAAAGATTACTTCAAACCTCCCTCCAACTTCATTAAACCTCTTATGGGTTATTCTTAATGCCTTTTTGTATGTGAATGGTATAAAGTGGTACTTTCTAAAGAAGAGCATTAATCTGTCTAATGAGTGTGGTTAGAGTTGCAGCTAAATCTAAAAACTGGTGGCTGCCATTTTGTGAACTGCTATTTATGTTGTCCCGCTTTTATATTTTTAGGAGACATCTGCCAACAGTTCACTAAAGAAATGTTTGAGATGTACCAGAACTATGCAGACTATAAATGCTGGACCTTTGACATTGTGAACTATACACCAGCTGAGATAGGTACAGTAGTTCTTCAGACATTCCACCACGACAAGGCAATTAAAAACAGTGTTTCTGTGCTATATTCATCACACATTATTTGTCTCTGTAGGTGGGTTGCATCATGCTTCTGCTCATATTTCGGGAGATGATGTCTACAGGCATCTGAAATATGAAGGAGGGACTCATCGAGTCCAGCGAATCCCTGAGATGGGCCTGTCATCACGAATGCAGCGTATTCACACTGGGACAATGTCAGTTATTGTTCTCCCTCAGCCAGAGGAGGTAAACCAGCTGTTAATCAGGATGGTAGGGCAGTGTATCCCTTCTCACCCCTTTGCCTGTTGGTTTAGGTGTTACTTAAAGCCATGTTATCATTACTGTTTGGGGATTTTATTGGTACCCAAGTGCAAGCCCCAGCAAGTGAACCACAAGATCTGTGACTCTGGAAGGTGATAGTCTGTAGGCCTATACCTCGTGTTTAAATGGGTCATCAGAAGCAACGTAGCAGAGATTTGCTGTTGCCTGAAATGGCATGTGAATCAGTGGTGGTTTCAGTGAGTGTTCCAGCCCCAACACTCACAGAGCTGAGTGCTATGAGTAAGCCAATTTTAAATTATGTTGTGTTTTAAGACAGGAAATATATCCAGAAAATATTCAGTGTTGCACAGTAATGTGATTCTGCAGGTCCGATTTTTTTGTTTCATGTGTCCTCTGTTAAATCAAGGACAGTCCGCTTTGAGTATGAATGAGTGTGTTGGCTAGTCCTTCTGAGAACTTACTGGTACTGACAGCTCTCACTTAAACCAGCAATTCACACACAAAATAAACAAAACCAGATCCTGCAGGCTTTCCCTGCACTTTCTCCTGCTTCCTTGTAGTGCTTTCCTTGCAATGTTGATCAGATCTGAATGTTCCTTTCCCATCCACTGACCTCAAACTATGGCCCAGGTCATCATGGACTTTTATTTCCAATGCTGCAATCCTTACTTGGATCTGGATACACCCATTTTTTCTTCAGATGTTTCTAAGCACTGTTGCAAGAATCATTCAGGCGTGACTTATGGCCAAGATCTTGTACTGCTGTTTTGAAGTAGCTTTTGATTATTTGCTTATTTCTTAGCCTCACTGCCAAGGCTAGTGGTTTTACAGAAAGCTGTTGATTTTGGTTTGTTTCACACCCCCTCACTCCCCCCCCCCCCACCTTGTTTTCTGAAGGATATGAAGTGAGAGTTTGAGGAAAATGAGTGAAATGTTTAAAGCATTACTTGCTTTGCAGACATTTGACGTTGCACTTTCTTGAAGTATAATTATAGCTGTTACGAGCAATATTTTGAGACATGGTAGGTTTTTTACACCAAGTATCATTGCCATTCAGGTATGTTTAGAATGAGCAAAAAGTAGCAATTTTCTTTGATTCTAGGTTGATGTTAAAGTGGATCCCAAAGATTTGCGTATAGACACATTCAGAGCCAAAGGAGCAGGAGGGCAACATGTTAACAAAACTGATAGTGCTGTGAGAATTGTGCACCTTCCCACAGGTAAGGCTGGCTGCATTTCCTACTTGTAATCACCCTAAATCTGTATCCTGAAGGGAAGGCTTGGGATCCCACAAGTTGTATCTTAGAGTGGGTTTGCAGGGTTGGGGCTTATACCAAGAAAAGGAAGTGTAGCCCCTTCTGGTTCTGCCCTCTGCTAGCAAGGCAACCTGTGAGAGAAGGGATGTGTACCAGTGTCATGATGGTCAGACATTTCCTATTATGACAGTTTTGTCCTCAGAGGGAGTGTTTAATGAATACCCTGTCTTTGAAGGATGAAAGGACCAGGAGGGTGACAGGAATGGGATGGAAGATGCAAATAATTTGTGCTCTGTGCTCTGTACCTTGAGGAATAACAGCCATTTGCAACCAAGGGTTGCTTTGCCTAGCTGGAACCTGTGTAGTAGTAGGCTTGAAGATTATCATTCAGTACTATATAGTTACATAGTACTATAGATTGTGCTTCAGTACTGTAGATAATGCTATCATATGTTGAAGAGGAAGGAAGATGTCTGCTAATAGAAAGATAATGTATAGACTGGATCACTCTGTCTTTCTCGGGGTTTGTTGTTATTGAAATTCAGTGGATTTCTATCTGTTCAGATGCAGAATCTCCTTAGACACAGGAAATGCCAATAGTGACCTGAAAACAGCTGTTTTCTAGATACCTTTTTTATTTCAGAAATCAAACCAGAAGCAAAAATAAGTACCAGATAGATTTCTTTTAAAGACCTTTATTTTACTTTATTTCATTATTCATAAGTTCAAGACCACCAGTATTGTTTAGACACCCTTCTCTTGTAGAATAATGAATTTTCCAATCTCCAAGAGCTTATTTAGACTAAGACTTTAAAAACTTGTGTTGCACTGTTAGAAGAATGCTTCTCTAGACTGTGCGAATGACATCTTTAACATGAGAATGCAGATTGGAGAAAGCTCATTTTCTGGAGGCAATGTCAGACTTGTTTGCTTCATGAAATGTTAAGGTATCCCTGACTTCTCTGTAGTACTGACCAAAGCCCCTGGTACAGCTGTGAAGAGTTTAAAACCATACTAATGGTTCTGGCTGCTGTCTTAAAATGACCTTTTATCCTGCAGCTGAATGACCCTACAAATCAGCACTCCAGAAGGTTTCATTTGCCTAATGTATTAGAATTAATTTAGCTTGTTTTTTTCTTTGTTATACTGGGCTTTTGATGTGAGCTTTCTTGCATCCCTCTATTAAAAGGACTAACAGTTGAGTGCCAGCAGGAGCGATCCCAGCTGTTGAACAAGGACATAGCTCTGCGAACACTGAGGGCTAAGCTGTACCAGCAGATCATTGAAAAACAGCTCAATCAAGAACAGAGTGCCAGAAAACTGCAGGTGAGAACATGTGGTTGCTGAAATTTGGAGAGGGTCCTGTGTCGTAGATTTGTTTCTCATCTGAGTGACAGTGATGGAGCAAGTGAGTGGGAGTGCCTGAACAGGTGTGCTCACAAAGGAGAATCTTGTGGTTTGAAATGCTCTGGATTGTACTTATCCCAGTTCAGTGCTATTGCAGACTTCCCAAGCGATGCAAAAGAGGCATCAGCTGTAGCTGGAAAGAAAAGGCTCAAAAAACTAGCTGGACTTATCTGAAAGGCAATGCTCTGTATCATATGCTGAATCCCCCTACTAAGGCTGGAGTTACAAGTAGAGTTACAAGTATACAAGTAGGGCATCAGTAAGCAGTTATTTTCTGTGAAAACTGGGATCAGAAGTTCTCAAGATTGTGTTTTAACCTGTTTCTAAACCACACTATTTGATAAGACCATACAGAGCTTTTGAAAGAAGCAAGTATATAAATACTCCTGCCACTACATAGATAGCAGTGTATTTGATACAGTTTAGGTAGCCTTTTAAGGAAGAAACAAGCTCAGGAGTGTTGAATCCCAACTAGAAGGAAGTGCAGCAGGAGGGCCAGGAGACCTCCTTGGATGGATAAGGAGCTGCTGAGGAAAATTTGAAGGAAAGAGGCTTATAAAAGGCAGAAGCAAGGACAGGCGGCCTGGGAAGAGTACAGGGATGTTGTCCGGGAAGCTAGGGACCAGGTTAGGAAAGCTAAGGCCCAGTTAGAATTAAACTTGGCTAGGGATATTAAGGATAACAGGAAAGGATTCTAGAGGTACATAGCGAACAAAAGACAGACTAGGGACAGTGTAGGCCCCCTCCGGAAGCTCTTGGCAGAACTGGCTACACAGGATTTGGAGAAGGCTGAGGTTCTGAATGACTTCTTTGCCTCGGTCTTCACTGGCAAAGGCTCTGACTGCACCACCCAAGTCTTGGAAGGCAGACGCAGGGACTGTGAGAATGAAGACCTTGGGCCCACTGTAGGAGAGGAACTGGTTCGAGACCATCTTAAAAATCTGAATGTACCTGAAGTCCGTGAGACCTGATAAACCCATGCACAGGTCCTGAAGGAGCTGGCAAATGAAGTTGCTAAGCCACTGGCCATCATATTGGAAGATCATGGCAGTCAGGTGAAGTTCCTGGCGACTGGAAAAAGGGAAATATAACCCCCATTTTCAAGAAGGGGAAAATGGATGACCCAGGGAATTACAGACCAGTCAGTCTCACCTCTTTGCCTGGCAAAATCTTGGAGCAGATTCTCCTGGAAGGCATGCTAAGGCACATGAAAATCAACAAGGTGCTTGGTGACAGCCAACATGGCTTCACTAAGGGGAAATCCTGCCTCACCAATTTGGTGGCCTTCTATGATGGGGCTACAGAACTGATGGACAGGGGCAGAGCAGTTGATGTCATCTGCCTGGACTTGTGTAAAGCATTTGACACTGTCCCACACAACGTCCTTGTCTCTAAATTGGAGAGACATCGATTTGGTAGGTGGACCACTCAGTGCATAAAGAACTGGCTGGATGGCTGCACGCAAAGAGTTGTGGTCAGTGGCTCAATGTCCGGCTGGAGACCAGTAACGAGTGGTGTCCCTCAGGGATCGGTGTTGGGATCGGTCTTGTTCACCATCTTCGTCGCTGACATGGACAGTGGGATTGAGTGCGCCCTCAGCAAGTTTGCCGATGACACCAAGCTGTGTGGTTCAGTTGATGCGCTGGAGGGAAGGAATGCCATCCAGAGGGACCTTGACACACTTGTGAGGTGGGCTGATGCCAGCCTCATGAAGTTTAACCATGCCAAGTGCAAGGTCCTACACCTGTGTGGGAGCAATCCCAGGCACAGCTACAGGCTGAGCAGAGAAGAGATTCAGAGCAGCCCTGCGGAGAAGGACTTGGGGGTGTTGGTTGATTTGATGAGAAAATGAACATGAGCCAGCAGTGTGTGCTTGCAGCCCAGAAAGCCAACCGTATCCTGGGCTGCATCCAAAGGAGTGTGACCAGCAGGTCAAAGGAGGTGATCCTGCCCCCCTACTCTGCTCTCGTAAGACCTCACTTGGAGTATTGTGTGCAGTTCTGGTGTCCTCAACATAAAAAGGACATGGATCTGTTGGAACAAGTCCAGAGGAGGGCCACGAGGATGATCAGGGGACTGGAGCACCTCCCGTATGAAGATAAGCTGAGAACGTTGGGGCTGTTCAGCCTGGAGAAGAGAAGGCTGCATGGAGACCTCATAGCAGCCTTCCAGGATCTGAATGGGGCCTGTAAGGATGCTAGGGGTGGACTCTTCATTAGGGACTGTAGTGACAGGACTAGGGGTAAGAAGTTAAGACTTAATCAGGGGAAGTTTAGATTGGATATAAGGAAGAAGTTTTTTACTGTGAGGCTGGTGAGGCACTGGAATGGGTTGCACAGGGAGGCTGTGAATGCTCCATCCTTGGCAATGTTCAAGGCCAGGTTGGACGAGGCCTTGGGTGGCATGGTTTAGTGTGAGGTGTCCTTGCCCATGGCAGGGTTCCTGGAACTAGATGATCATAAGGTCCTTTCCACCCCTAATTATTCTATGATTCTAAGAAACACCTTTCATAAGAGAGTTACTTCAAATTATGATGCAAAGTTAGCTTTTCTCTTGAAATGTGCTATCATTCTTTCCACATTCTTTGAATATTTTCCCCATTTGTGGTCTGAAGTTCAACAGGGATCACCAGGAATAAAACTACTGCAGAATTACAGAATTATTCAGTACTTTGAAGTTTCTAGCTCAGCTGTTTAATCATTAATGTCAGGTTGCATGTAAGTGTATTGTTCCTGCAGGATATTAGGCCAGTCACTGGAAGTGGTGAGACATTTCTCTTCTGTTAATAATTTTAGCTTGAGATCCTTTAGAATTGCTTAAAGGACTTAGATGTACATTTATATGAATACTACAGAAAATTAGGCAAAAGCGAATTGCTTTTCGTAATGTTTCAGAATTTATTCAGTAAATGCCTTATTTTAAAATATACATGTTGAGTGCAGATGAATTTTTCAGCAGAGCCCATTGGATCAGACACCCGTTTCTGTACGCCGTTTTTAGCATTTAATTCGGTATTTTAACAGAGTTAAATCACACAGCAACACTATGTTTTGATGTTTTAAACGGCTTGCATTCCTGCACTTCACCACTAGAGGACTACTTTTCGTAGTCTTCATTTACTCCCCGTTCAGCACTAACGACACCCAGACTTCAGTGGAGCAGCTTTGTCACGCGTTGACTGGGCTGCTTATTAATGGGGCCCACTTTCGTTATTTCTTGTGGGAGCTACACACCCCCCCAAAAAACAGCCTTACATTTTTGCACTATGGACTTGTGTAGATCTGTCTCTGGCCTTACGTGACTTCTGAGAGTCAGGTCATTCTTCCAGCCACAGAGCTGGACCACAGATGTACTGGGGCTGTAAGAACTAGGTCTGTGATGCAGAGTCACAGATCATTGTTTTGTGCAGGGAAGCTGTGGCTGCCCCATCCCTGGCAGTGTTCAAGGACAGGTTGGAGAGGGCTTGGAGCAACATGGTCTAGTGGAAGGTGTCCCTTCCTGTGGCAGGGGGATTGGAACTGAATGAGCTTTAATGTCCTTTCCAGCCCAAACCATTCTGTAATTCTGTGATAATACAGTTTAGCAATGCCAAAGTATTTAAAAATCTCCTATGCTAAGTTAGTGTCCACTAGGTTTGTAGTTGGAATAGTCTGATCTGTCAAAGTTTATTCTAGGTATGCTGCTTGAGAGTGGAATTTGAGTCTATTTCTTTTTAAACACAATATGATAGGATTGGTTTTTTTTGCTGCTTTGCTACAGTTGGGAACAAGAGCCCAGTCAGAGAGAATCCGTACTTACAACTTCACCCAGGACAGAGTCACTGACCACAGGATCTCGTACGATGCACGCAATATCAAGGTAATGGTTGCTTATGAGAGTATTTAAAATCACTTATCTGTACCATAGGAAGAAATTAACTTAGTGAAACCAATACAGTCTGAATGAGGAAATCGAGATAGCCAGTTGTGCTCTGTCAGAACAGATTTAGAAAGCTGAAACTTTCTTTCCTGCCTGGTTGTGCTGTGCTGTTAAAGATACCTGGCACAGGATGTAGCTTGCTGGCCTACTTGTAGCCCTCAGTCAACTCCCTGAGTCCCTCAGGCAAACTGGCAAGTGACGTTTGGGATTCTTGAAGCTTAGTACATCTCCAAGAAAAACCTGACACCAAGGACTTCTTCTTTTGTTAAGCCAGTTTTTCCTTCTCCTAATGGTGGAGTGAAGAAAAATTTCTATGCTTGCCTCACAGGCCAGGCAGATGAAGCAGAAACCAAATGCTTTCATTTTAAGATTACCCAAGGTCTTATTTCTCAGTAAATCTCTGCATACGGCCTGAATCTTGATTATTTATTGTTGTTTTACAGTGAAAAAAAATACCTAGTAATGCATTTTTGTGTATTAAGTGTATGAAAATGGTTTGAATTTTAGGACAAAAGTTTAGGGTGACCCTTCAATGTTTGGCTTGGGTATCCAGTTCACTGTAAATGCTGTTACGTAAGGATCCATGCCTTTTGAATTGTACCCAGAGGTGTCCTGGGTAACTTCAGAGAACACAGGGCATGCTGAATACGGAATGGTTCATATTCAGTGGAGTGGGGAATAGGTACACAGATACCATGGTGGAGGAGAATGGGAAGTAGTTTTAGTATTTAGATTAGACATGAGGAAGAAATTCTTCCCTGTGAGGGTGGTGAGGCACTGGCACAGGTTGCCCAGAGAAGCTGTGGCTGCCCCATCCCTGGCAGTGTTCAAGGCCAGGTTGGATGGGGCTTGGAGCAACCTGGTCTAGTGGAAGGTGTTCCTGCCCATGGCAGGGGGGTTGGAACTAGCTGATCTCTAAGGTCACTTCCAACCCATATCATTCTGTGGTTCTGTGAGTTCCACAATTACATAGAACCAACTTTCATTAGTTGAACTTTTCCATTACTTAGTGTTGGGAACTTTTTACTTTCTTGAGTGAAACTGGAACCATAAACTGCCTGACAAAAGTTAGCTGGGCTCTGCTTGCAAAACAAACTAGGTCTTGGCATGAGCAATCTATATTTGACTTGGGCTCTTCAACCCTGGGTTGCTCTTGCCTAGGGGATTTGCATGTAAACACATGGGTTACATGAAAGCGTGGCAGGAAGGCACCAGCAGCTCCTTTTGTTGCTGTTGGAATCAATGTGCTGCTCACAGGCAGCCAGCTGGAGTTCCACTGCTGTGCACCATGGCATGTTGCATTCACACAGGGGGAGTGCAGAGGTGAGCAAATGAATGCGTCAAGATAAGACTCCTGGCAAACTGCATTCCAGGAGCTCCTTGTTTGAGTCTTGGGCAATTTGGAATTATGCTGATGTACAGTCAGTAATGCTTTTGCCTGTTGTTGTGGTTTTTTTTTTCATAGGAAATTCTAAATGGGAAAGAAGCACTGGATAAGCTCATCAACAGACTGCTGGAGTTTGCAGAGATGGAGGCTGTCACTGAGTATCTAGAAAGTTTGCAGGCTGTCGAAGGAGGAGGCTGCTGAAGGCCTTGCATGGAGATAGAGCAGAAATGTGTTCGGTAGGAAACCAGATGCATTTGTTACATAAGTCTGTGCCTCTGTTTTTCAGGGTGTGATGCTACTCTTTTATACTTGGGTGCAAATGGATTGAATTCATTTTAGCAGAAAAGAACAAGCTTGGGGTACTGTGTGTGAATACCATCCGTCTTGGCAGCACGGCTCTGTTAAGCTGGACCTCTTGACATATTGCAGCTGGAAAGACACAGAATCGTGGTGATGGAGCAGAATAAATACTACATAGTGCATGTTTTGGAGGTGGCAGATGTTCCTCTCCAGGTGAAAGAACCTCAGCTCCCCAGACAATCTAGAACCTGGCCTTGTGAATGACTTTGAGTGGGTGAGCTTCCTAAATGCAGTCTCTTCAAAATAACTCTGTGTTATGATGCTTTAATTTTTAGAGTGAATATACAAAAGCAAAGGCAGCAGTTTTGAGGCCTGTCAGCTTGCTTCTAGCCACTCTTGGGTCAGCTTAGGGTGGGACTGGACCGCATGCTGCAGTGGTGTGTAAAAGTAGGTGTTCTGGTTTCCAGCCGAGTTGATGAGATTCCAGGAGAGGTTCAGCCATGATAGCAGGCAGCTCCCTGCTTCTTGGTCAGAGAAAAGAAGTTCACTGTGTTGTGTTTTAGCAAACGGGTAGCTCTGCAGTTCATTTTCTGCCTTGATGACTTTGGGAATGTGGGCCTGTCCCTGAGCGTGATCCAGTTGCTTACAGAGCATTTGGACACAGCGGTTCAGGAATACTGATGTGTTTAATGTCACACAAACTCAAGAGTGCTCTGCTGAACTGGGCTGACTTGCTACAACACGGTGTTTTTTATCCTGCTCCTCCCAGGTTTTGCTATAAAGCTGCTCCTCTGTACAAGCTTTTGCGTGTGAAGAATCAGTTCATTGTTATGATTTAAATTAAGCCTTCTTGTTGATTTATATTTGCACATCTCTTCTGTGATCACAAATAATACAGGACTGAGAAAATGACAGTTATTGTAAGGAAAATAAACACTTTGACATTGAGTTTATCTAAATTGTGTAGTTTTTACTACTGTATATTTAACAAACAACAGTTTTAACTTTATTCAGCTGTATTTAGAAAGATGGAACTTGAACCAGGAAGCAAGTAGGAAAACTATCCTCAGTTTCCCAATTCTGGAGTTATTTTTCAGTTCTTTGGCATGTTTGCACATTCTTATCAGCGAGTTTTGTCTGGCAATTTCTGACTTGCTCCCAGCACTTTTAATTATGAAAGCTCTTGGGTTTGCTTGGGCTTCTTTCAATGTGTAGCCCTGTGAGTCAATTGGGAAACACCACCACACAATTTAAGAGTCATCGGGACACTTGAACTTTGACTTCTTGCAGTAAGCAGTTCAGAAATAAAACCTGCAGGAAGATCTGCAGCTCAACTTCTACTTAAGGCAGTAACAGAAATGCTATGAACTAGTTTATGTGCATTCCCCACCTTTTAGAAGTGCAGATCCTTAACTCTCAAGGGCATCGCCCATCAACCTTAGAGGAGCACATATGAGGACTACTGAATGACAATGTTAACATCAGGTTTATCTATTCAGCTACATTTGGAAAGTTGCTTCAACAAACGTCACCTAAACTCTGGTAAGAACTGTAAAATTAAGTTTTAACCAGGGTTATTTGTTACTTGTAATTGATGCACAGAACAAACCCCTTTCCAGTAAGTGCTGAATGTGCTACTGGAAGGCACCAGACACTTCTACTGGTGACCACAAAATTACAGTATTTATTTTAAGAAGCATTTCCACATTTCCATCCCTGTTTTGGTTTACCTTGACCCCAGGCCCCATTTTTAACAGAACGTGCACCTGCCCATCTCCCAGCTTGCCCTGACCCCCCTGAACAGATGAACAACGGTAGCGGATGGTTCAAACGAAAGCTTTATTCAGGGTCTTCATATAAACTCCACTTCAAGAGCTTGCAGTATTTGTAATTGCAACTGAGAAGCTGCTAAAGAGAAACCCACTGTTTAATGTTGCAGAGGATACCTATAAACTAAACCACTCGCTTCTCATTCACCTGCTCCTCTGCATTTCCCCCTCTGTAATGAAGCCATTAACATTGACTCTCTTCAGCCCCCAGTCTGTGCAATGCTTTCTGCTGGGTTTTAACATGGGCTGTGTTTACAGGTAAAGTCAAACTTGTGTTTGCTGACACTGTCTGAGAACCCTCTGGGGCAGATGCAGCCTTTTTCAGAATATTATTTGCAGTGCTTTTTGCTCTGTAAAGAAACTTTCTATTCAAGCTATATCCCAAAGCATTTCACAAAGCTCAATCTGTTTGTTTGTCACACAAACACTTCACACGACTTCTAAGTTAAATAGGTAGAAGGTAAAGACGACTTAAGAGGTAGATACAAGAGAGACTGAAGAGGTAACAGCTGACAAAGCAGAACCAAAGGGTTGCTGCAGAAGGTACAGAGACAGCTTTTGTACCAGCCAGCACAAGGATTAAAAACCCCACAGGAGGAATGGGATCTGTCTCAGGAGGAAGGATCAGTGAGGAAATCAGAAAAGCACATGGGGTTGAAACAGCTTATGGCTGTTTGAGAGTAGATAAGGTTGTACCTCTCCAGGGCATGATGCAAACAGGCGGCAGGAGATGGGATGGGGAGACACGGTGGCCTGTGTTAAGACAGTGTGATACTTCCCCAAATCCCAGTGGAGCAGAGGTGAAGTGAACGGAGATGCTGGAGATACAGCACAGCAGTGATGTGGAGGTTTGCATAGCTGGGAATACTGGAGGAAGACTATTTGAAGAAGATAGCAATAATAAGACAAGTACTAAAAAAGGGAGGCACAACTCAAAAAACTAATCAAGGAAACCAAGAAACATGAAAGTTTTTTACTCCCTTTCTGAGATACCAAAATTTGCACTGAAGTAACATATTTTTCAAGCGAGAAAGAAGAAAAAAAAGGACAAAAGTTTTTATACAAGCACAGGTGAATTTAACTTGGATCCGTGTCATGACCAGCCTTTCCACCTTCTTAATCTGAACACTGGGACTGGATGATGCCACAACACAGATTTTCTCTATGATAGCCAAACACAAAGCAAACTTTACTCTATTGGGAAAGTCTGGATTTCAATCTACAAATTCCCAGGTGGAGGGTTAAAATTTGGCTTTGCCTAAAGACGAACAAGGAGTATTCTATAACCTGGGTCAAATAAGCAGGTCTCTGCACAGCTCCTGGTATAAAGAAATGCCCATCAAAGTAACTGCAATATATTGCATATATGCATCAATTGCATATCAAAGTATATGCAGTATGTTTGGTTCTAAAAGCATCACCAGCTTTAGACAGACCCTACTATAAAAACACACACCCCAAAGAAAAGCATCCTGTACTGCCAGTCTGTCTTTATAGACAGACAAGACAGGGGAGAGATGAGGCAAGGAAGGAAAAATACAGAACTGACTTGAACTGACTTGCTCAAACCCACACAAATGAAGCCATTGTCAGACACTGCAGTGACTCCCCTTTTCTCTCTGACTCTTCTCGTATTGCTAACAATGTCCACAGCAGCCTACAAAACCAGGAGCCTGCAATAAAAGGAGGCAAGCAACTGAAAAAATGCTGCATGACAGAAAATGGGTTAGCGAGGAAACACAACACTCTTCCTCTGGTAGCACTGTTCTTCTCAAACAGTAAAAGGAACATTCCTTTACTGAAGGCCAGTGCAGCCAAGGCAGGATTAGCAGATGAGGAGCATAACTGTGGTAATACCTACAGGATTCCTATGGCAAATTCCAAAGGCAGAAGAACTTGCAGGGAGATAGCAGAGGAGGGAGAGGGATCTGCACAGAACCTGTGTCCTGGAAAAGCAGCATCTCCCTTAAGTCTCACAAAAGTGTGTTTGTATCAGAAATACTTGGTTTAGATACACAATAAGGAAACTGAGTGACAGCACGGTGCAAAATTAAACACTGGCTTTGGACAGATCCCATTTGATTCAACTGGCCCTCATTGTAATTTAAAAGCAAGGAATGAACTGGTCTCTCCTCAAACTCAGAGGTATCGGGGAGCGGAGAGTTCTGTTTCTTTGTGAAACACAGGCTTTAGAAGTTCCATCAGCAAAAGCAAGTGTATGGTATTTAAACCAACTTTACTATCAGTGAACAAAGAGAACATTTAGTATCTTTTCCACTAATGCTTTGGTTTGTCTATTTAACACCGTACTTGACAAAGACCTTTGGTTGATATTACAACTAGCAGCAGCCCCTCAAGGAAACAAGTTTGGAACACTTTCAGATGGTTTTAAACAGCTCCCTGAACAGCTTAGTTACAGGTATCTTAAATCACTGCCGATGACCACTTCAATGTGACAGAATTTTTAAGGAAAGATGTTAGTATTTTGGGAACCTCACTATAAGAGAAAAGATGAGCTCCTCAGAGGATTTAAAAGTGGAGTCTACAAATAAAACTCCTATACTACTGTGCCAATAAACAATGAAATCACTTTACAGAGCTCCTAAAGAAATGTACACACTTTAGGCTTGGAGTAACAGAAACAGATGAGTACAGCAGTACAAAACAAGTTTGTAAGGAAAAAAATGATTGTGCTTGGAAGGAAAGCAGGATCAGCTGTTAACGCGGCAGCTGGCAATGGCAGAGCAGCAGACAGAGCTGGCTGTACTGGAAGATCACAGGGTGCCAACGGCAGGCAGCATGATACAATCACGTGAAAGGCGAATGTGGTTTAGGGCCACATGTATCAAGAGTCACTTCCAGTAGGCCAAGGAAGTGTTAGTGACATCACCCATGGCCTTAATCTTCCTTGAACACAGAGCCCAGGCAAACTCAGGCTGGAATAGGTGAAGAGAAGCGGTGGTGGTGGAGTGCCACACAAGGACATGTTATGTGATGCTGAAAAGACACGGTGGATTCAGGAGGAGGAAAAGCGAGTTAGCTGAAGGACAATACTTGTGTAAATTGAGAGGAGTTGCAAATGAACTTGTTACAAACACAGGGAGGCTTCAAGCTGCGGCAGTAGTGTTCAGACATAAACAAAACCTGAAAACTGCTTCTTAAAGAAACCTGACAACCCCTCCTCAGCAGAAAGGACACTTCTGCTCTAGCCTGTCATGTGAGGACTTTCATATAGAGTGCTTGCTGTACATTCCTTCATGTATGCAAGAACGTATGAGAGCATCCAGCACGCATCCAGCATCTCTAAATGACAATCCAGGGCTGGGTATTACAGGAAACTTTCAAATTTCTCAAAACAAACATCAGAAGAAATACAAGCCAGAGAAACACATGGGGTTAAACACAGTACTCAACTCTCCTCTACACATAGACAGAACAACACAGAAAAGAAAAAAGACCTTGGTGTCCTTTGTAAGACATGATAAACATTCCCTGTCTCACACTCCTTTCTCTGCTGATAGGATGGATTAACAGTTGTTTTCTCTGGGAAGTTCAAGCTCAGCAGTTACCAACTCCATTTTGCTGCAGCTGGCTGTAATGATCCATTTGGCTGTGATGCTCCTGAACAGAACACTACAAGCTTTTAGAAAGAGACATTTTTTAGTGGGTTCATGAGCTGAACGTTTGTGGTCCACTGTTTGACACCTGGAGAAGCAATGAGTGGAGCTGTATCCTTTCACAATGAATCCTGATCATGCTAAATGCACAGCAATCCCACCTAGTGAAGAAATCGAACCTACGGGCCTTAAGAAAATGTCCAAGCCATCGTGGACAGTAGAGCCATCAGCTCCACTTACCCATCTTCTGTTTTCTGTCTTATGGTACTGAGAATGATGAAACTTCAATACACTTAGTCTCTCTCAGCTTAGTCAGTCACTGCAACTATTCAATACACTCCCCTCTTACCAACAGACAAAATCCATAAACCTCAACAAGGGTTCTGCATGCTGTAGCAGGGCCAGGTCTTTGGAATGTTTTGTCATGAAAGGGACAATTTGTTACGTCAGGAAAAGAGATAAAAAAGAAAGTAAGACCAAAAAAAGAAAACTTGATGTGCAAAAAGAAGGAAAAGCTCAAGCACAGACAACAATAAAGCAAAATACAACAGGAAGACACCACAGAAATATCTGCTCCAACAGGTTCTGGGGCTGTTACAGGAAGTTAAGATTCATGCTGTTTAAACCTTCTGCAGAGGTTTAACACATTTATGGTGCACGTACACAAATGATTTTCCAGACGTCACTTGGAATGAGTGGCACTGATGTGACAAACTCCTCTAGAAACAGCTTTCATCAAAGGATCGCTATGAAATGTTGGCAGTCTCACCACCTACTCTTCTGCAAGTGATTAGCCAAAGGTTAGTAAGCACAGTATTTTTACTCATTAGCTGGGGAACTACTCCACATAATCAATCTTGAGGGATGATTTTACTCTCTAGTACATGTCATTGATCCAGTTCCTCTGTGAAAAAACAAAAGGTCTGCATCCTTTCTGCAAGATGAAGGATGACTATGTTCTCTCAGAAAAGGAGTAAAAAACCTTATGCAACATATTTAAAACAGCATACCCAGAGCAAACTGTACCTAGATTGTACAGGTAAAATAGACGTATTTACAATATTGCATAAGTAACAGAACAGAGACTTCCATTCCAAGATCAATCACATCAAAACAGAATTAAAAAATGTTACAACTCACATGTTTCAATCCCTATAAATCCTTAATTTCTATCCAACATCTTCTTTATAAAAGCCTGTTTAAAGTATTGACTTCTGATTCACTCTTGCTTCAACAGAATCAAGTATTATTTGTTAAGTGTTACTGATCACTCAGTCTCTGTCTTAAGTTCCTAGATTTTCCATTTTCAAATTTCCTCTTTTTAAATGTTGGCACCCCTTCTGTCAGCTCTCCAAGGGAGGTGACTGTCTTCTCCTTAAATATCACTGTTGCATCGTCTGGATCCTCTGCCACTGGGGGTGGCAGACTGTCACTCTCTGTACTAGGAAGCTCCAGGTCCACTTTTTCACTGGGAGAAGAGAGGAAAACATAGAAGGATTAATCTACATGGAAAAAACAGCATGGTGTACTGCAGACAGCAACATCCATATTTGATTGTCAAAGCAGCTTTGAGCTAGATGCAGTCTTCTAGCCAAGATCACCGTCATGACAGGCATCAAGGAAAAAACATGCTCTTTGCTTCTTCTGTGTGGGCTGCCCTGAAAAGTAAAAAACTAAGACCTCCTTGTGTACAGAACTTGTAGCGTGGCCCAAGCACTCATCATGTAATAGTCCTGCAAAAGACAACACGGCTGCATGTGTGTAAATTTAAGACAGTAGTCAGTGACCAGTTAGCAATGCTTCACTGCCAAAATGCTATGGAGTAGTTTTACACAAGTGTCCATCCCTGAGGGTCTGCATGACAGACAGAAAACAGATTTACCAAACCAGCAAGTGACCCCAAGTTGGGAGGAACAGCTTTGGAGAACAGAATCACAGCAAATACTGATCTGAATGAATCAGAGACACCATCTAAAACAACCAGTTGGTTTTAAGAGATCAACAGCAAAGCACTATGTTATAAAAGAATAACCTGTGGCACAAACTTATGATGGAGAACAACCCAACAGTTGGCAGCAAATGATCTTAATTACAAGTCCATTGGGCATCATACCAGTATAACTCTGGTACAAAGAGATACACATTGTGTTCCTGGTCAATCCATACAGGAAATCCTTCAGTACTACTGAGTGCGCCTGATGTTGACTCCTGTACTGTACCTGGTTTCAGGTCCTGTGCTTTGAGGAAGACATGGACTGGCTCAAGCAACCAAAGAGAGCCACAGGAATGACAGCAGGTCAAGAAAACATGACCGTTGCAGTATGCCAAAAATACAAACCTCTGGAAGTGGTTGCCATTGTGCCTAACCTCAATTTAAAGTAAATAACAAACAACTGCATTTCTCTCCTTTACATGTGTGTGTATCGCAAGCCTGTGTTTTCACCTACAGACTGATATATAAGGTTCAGTAGCTGAAAGCACTTTTTATATGGCAGTGCTTTCCAAAAACTGAAAGAACTTATCAGCTCTGGAGTCAAGGAGCAGTTAGCTGGTCCAACACAGAAGGTGTTACGTGAACATTACGATTTCCAAGGAAGTAGATCAGTGCTGAATTTAGTTCCAACACTGTCAAAACTGCTGAATCATTTACAACTAAAACACTGGAGAACGGGGTGAGTATGAGGGAAAGGACAGTTTTCCTTCTCCAAAACCTAGCTTCTCCAGACTCCTAGAGGGTCCCACAACAAGAAACTGGCTGTAAAAGGCAGCATGTGTCACAAAAATAATGAGCCAGCTCAAGCACTGTGCAGTAAAACCAAACCAAACCAAACCAAACCTCCTGGTCACAAAAACACCTGTAGCACATCGGCTGGACATGGAAGAGAGACAGCTTCCAGATTTAAAATGGCATAACTAGATTACACATTTTGTCTTCCATCTCCTGAGTTAAGTCATTACAGAAGGTGTCTCCCACGACATTGTAAGAGCCTCCAGGACTTACCCGCAGTGACAGCAGTAAAGGTTGTGGATTTTGTTTTGGTTTTGCTTAACTCTGTTTTGAAATGAGGCAAATGAGGGAATGAGAAACAGCTGAACCAACTCTTTTACTGCAATACTGGGTGAAAATTTGTAGTGTCTTTTCAACCATGTCCTTCAAGTGAGAAGCTAGAGTTAGTACACCACCACAAAGTGAGGAAGAATTCACTGCTTGTGCAAGTAACTTGGCCAAACACACCAGGCGTAGGTAGAAATTGCTTGGAGTCTGACAAAAAGCATACTCCTTATGTCAGGCACTCCTGATCCCACAAGGAAGGAATTCAAAGCAATGCTAACTCAGTATGATCAAGATAAGGTTGCTGGTGGTCCTAGAAGACCAAGATACATCTTGAACTTTGGGCAGAGTTAGCCCACTTAATTACTCATCAGAAAGAATCAGAGTTTAGCCTGGAAGCTGGAGGCCCTGAGAAAGCTGCCTATGCTGTTCCGAGGGTGGAAGCAAAGGGGGAAAGGTTCACGAGAGCTCCTGAGGCAGCTCAGCCAGACAGTTGAAGGAGATGCTGTTAAGGAACATAAGCTTAGAGTAACTACCTTTAAACAGCTGATACTCAGCCTCTAAGAAAAATTATGGATGACAATCATCCTTCAAATCACTTCAATTTAGTCTGTAATCATGGGGAACTTCTACACTAAACCAACCTACCACCAATTATCAGCCATGGAGTGCTATTACTTCAAATAATCCCTGTGGTAAGAATTGTATTTGGGCTATACTTCCAATCCCTGCAGTGTTAATTCTGCAAGAATTCAGAAGAAAAAGCTTCAGTTCTTTCAAACAAGTATTCTGGAAACAAATACCATGAAAATAACTGTGATAAACATTTCCTCACCTCGGTTCTTCCTCCTCCTCTTCTTCTTTCTCTGGAATAGCTTTCCATTTTCCGTAAGGATTGGTCTTGCTGGATGTGTCACTGGAGGCTTCTTGGGAAGGGGATGAACTCTCCTCTTTATCAGCAGTTTCTTCTGACTTAACTTCTCGCCATTTCCCATAAGGACTTAACTTCTTAGCTCTGGGAGACTTTTTCCCTTCCTCTGATTCTTCACCATTATCTCGTTTCCTCTAAAGAGGAAAAAACCCACCTTAAGCAAAAATGCCTAAATAAAAACACAATGTAGCTTTATTTTACATCTTTGATTTACCATTACCTACTATTCATACTTTTCAACCAAGAATAACTTGAAATTATAAACCCATACTGTCATAAAACTTGAAAACAAAGCTTAGCATATGTGCATAAAAAATAAGAAGCAAAAATTCACATACAGCTTTCTGTGCTGCAGATACACACGCTTTAGAGCTAATACCTGGTAGTAGTTTACACTGATGCAGAGTTACAAACATACATATTTTAGAATTAACACCTGTCTGTGAACACATTTTATGTTTAAACTATCTGAGAAACAGTTACAGAAAAATCATCTGACCCAACCAGAGCCATAATCACACCCTTTATCATAAGTTTTAAACCTGAAGACATGTAGCAATATAACTGATCCACATTTTGTACTACATGCTGCCAAACTTTTTCTCAGTTAATAAGAAAATTACGCCCATGTGATTTTCAGTCAAAAGCTCTCCCTGAGGGTCTCTGGGCAGTCACATTTACCAGTGAAGGTTTGAAGTCATCCTCACACTGCAATCCAAACCACTCTGTGGATTATTTCAGCGAGGTGACAGTGACCTTTCTCAGAGAACATCACATCTCTTGCAGACTTCAAGCTGCTTCAGGTGGGCTGAAGAGGAAGATCATGCTTTCTATTCTGGAACAGTGCCACTAATGGGCCAAATGATTGAATAAAGATTCATTTGACTTTAAACAAGTGCAAACTTTCAGTCATATGGTTTAACCTAATTACAATGAGTACATCCTATCACAACACATAAATTATCTTCTGCTAGAAAATTAATACTGTGTGTAAAATAAATCTAAAAACTTGCCTTGAAATTTGTTTCCGAACTCTGTGCTTCATTCTCACTGTCTTCTGAGTCTGAATCCGATGTTTTGGAATCTGTTTGACTCTTCCCAGTTGAAGGTGAAACAAAACCACTTGGTTTCTCCCATGTGGATACTGTCCAAAATATTTGAACAATCATATTACTTATGTTTCTAATTCTGATCTGGCATTTCCTTTCATAAGGAGTGCTGTCTTATGCAAAGATACAGCAAACAGTTTAGCACAGGGCTTTTGCCCTTGTTTGATATGTTTGTTTTAATAAACATAATCAGAAATATAACATTTCACTTCTCAGCAGAGATACACTCATGACAGCTGAATTTACTGTTGGTAAAGCTTGTTTTAATTAGTGCTTAAGAAAAATAACATAAATGGTGAACTGTGGCTTGCAAGACTGTGGTCTCTCATCCTTTTACATGACAAATTGCCCTCTAGAGGTGCCTATCTGATTGGCGTTGTCCATCGATTACAAAGCCAGAATAAGGTAAACTGTAACTTCAAGCCTCAGCTCTCCAGGTAGATAAACCCCTTCTCTGTGCTGCCTGGCTCTGTAACATTAGGTCAATCTCTAATTAAAGAGCTATCAATTAAATACAAACATCAATCTGAAAAGACATGAGAGTATGTACAGGATGTGACCTCACTTTCACTTTTTAGTTGGAATTTGCTGGTACTATACAGGCAAATAGACTGAGAGGAAGTATTAAAATAAAGGTTGACTCAAGGGTCTGAAAACTAGTTTTAGTAACAATAAGGCAAAACCAACTTGCAATATGGATTTTTATATAAGCTTTCAAATTTAATAAAACTCTCCAGTTATTTTCTCTCTTTCCAAAGAAATCCCCAACTGAAAACAACACTTAACATGTATCTTGAAGAAGTAAAGGTGTAAGAAACTGGTAATGAGTGACTTTAAATGACCAGAACAGTCTCTTCAGGGCACTGCTGTCACTTCAGAATCTCACAAGCCCAAATTTTACCAAATATGATGATTACAAAGACATTCTTCATTGAGTGTCATGTGTCCATGAAGAACTCGAAAAAACAACACAGCCAAAGGCATAAAATATCCCTGAGCTTAGAAGGCAATGTTTAAAAATAATCAGCATCTCCTTCGGCTTTCAAAAGAAGAAATCACAAATCATTTGGGCAGGGGAGTGGCACATTGGAAAACTGGAAGTTTTGGGGGTTTTATTCTATTCTTGGCATTGTTAGGAATGCCACTTCATGCCCAACAGCAGAAGGAAAACTCATACACAGCATAAAAGCACTTGCTCTCCAGAGAGGCATCACTGACCTCAAAATTATTCCAACGGATTTAGAAAACAGATGCCTGTTCTGAGGGAGTTACCACAAAGTTCCCCATGTTAGGGAAAAGAACAGGGAAAAGTAGGAGGCAAGATGCTGGGCGGTCTTGTCAATACTGTGTTGGTAAGAGGAAAAGTTGAGGAGGTTCTTACTCAGTCCTACGTACCTGCCAAAACAAAATCCTGCCCCTTTCTGGTTCCCAAACTATAATTTCAATATATATGTAGAAAAGAAGAACACACAGTTCAGAGCTACAAGTTGAATGTCAGAAAAAACCTATTAAGCACAAACATATACACACTGACAATACAGCTATAAAGCCAGCACTGACCTAAGCAACAACTGTGTTTCGACTAAGGTAGCAGCTAAAAAATTCAGAACTTAGTAATACCCTTAAAATGCAGTTATTTGCAAAACAAAGTGCTTTTCTGAAAACCCTCTCTCCTGAAACAGAGCTTAACTGGAAAACAACCTCTCCTTACCTCCTGTTTGTGTGTTGTAGTAGTAAGTATGACCATCTTCAGTGACACCCTCTACCCACTCCGCTGTCTAAGGAAAAGATACAGGAGAAATTAAAACAAATTTCAAGGGTCAGCCAAAGCATCACTTATAAGACTACTCAACCCCTGAGCATCTTTTGTTTGTGATAATTTTCCCATTTTAAAGCTTAAACCCCTGTTAGGAAGTATTCCCTTTGACTCAAATGAGACTGAATTGTTTAACTTAAAATACTGCAAATGCACACACACATTTTTTTTTCAAGAAGTGGATAATTAGTACGAGGCAATATAACACGTTGCCATACACTTCAAATTATCATACAGGCCATTATTTTACATGGGGTTTATTTTCCAAAGTGTTCACCCCTGAGGTAGTAATTTCCTGTTTGTGTCATTCTCTTCAGTGGAGGTTGATAAAAAGTTTCTCTGGAAGATGCAAGGTTTTGTGAGGGCTACAGAAAACCTATCAATAAGTACTATCACCAACTAAACAGAAACATACAAACAAAAAACCATTCTAGAATTTATCCCAAAACAGATGTTCATCAAAAATAACAGTGAAATCAAACTTTGCAGGAATGCGTGCCCGTTCATTTACCTCCTTAGTGAAGCAACACTTTTCCCTAGTGATTAATAAATCCATATGAAATGTGGTGGAAATTGCAAGTAGGTCTTTTTGGATGTGTAATTAAAATGCAGATGTGCAGAATCAGCCACAGCTACATAATCAGTCATTACCCCTGACTTTTAACATCATCCTTAAGAACCTGATTTACATCAACACCTGCACATACAACTACTTCACTGCTCCTTAAGTACTAACTACTGCCTGCTCCTCTGCATTAGGCACAACATCCATGAAGCTTCACCATACATTATTTTTGCATTAATAAATGTGTCTATGTGTGTATACACATACATACAGTATACATTTGTGGTTCGGTTGATATGCTGGAGGGAAGGAATGCCATCCAGAGGGACCTTGACATGCTTGTAAGGTGGGCTGATGCCAACCACATGAAGTTTAACCATGCCAAGTGCAAGGTCCTACACCTGGGTTGGAGCAATCCAGGCACAGCTACAGGTTGGACAGAGAAGAGATTCAGAGCAGCCCTGCGGAGAAGGACTTGGGGGTGCTGGTCAATGAGAAAATGAACATGAGCTGGCTGCAGTGTGCGCTTGCAGCCCAGAAAGCCAACCGTATCCTGGGCTGCATCAAAAGGAGCGTGACCTTCAAAAGGAGAGTCGAAGGAGGTGATCCTGCCCTTCTACTCTGCTCTCGTGAGACCTCACTTGGAGTACTGTGTGCAGTTCTGGTGTCCTCAACACAAAAAGGACATGGAACTGTTGGAACAAGTCCAGAGGAGGGCCACGAGGATGATCAGGGGACTGGAGCACCTCCCATATGAAGATAGGCTGAGAAAGTTGGGGCTGTTCAGCCTGAAGAAGAGAAGGCTGTGTGGAGACCTCATAGCAGCCTTCCAGTATCTGAAGGGGGCTATAGGGATGCCTGGGATGGACTCTTCATTAGGGACTGTAGTGACAGGACAAGGGGTAATGGGTTAAATCTTAAACAGGGGAAGTTTAGATTGGATATAAGGAGGAAATTATTTCTTGTTAGGGTGGTGAGGCACTGGAATGGGTTGCCCAGGGAGGTTGTGAATGCTCCATCCCTGGCAGTGTTCAAGGCCAAGTTGGATGAGGCCTTGGGTGATATGGTTTAGAGCAAGGTGTCCCTGCCCATGGCATGGGGCTTGGAATTTGATGATCTTAGGTCCTTTGCAACCTTAACTATTCTATGATTCTATGATTTGCTTAACACTCTTATTAAAACTTTGTTGTTTTCTTGAAACACACAACAAAATCACGAGTTAAAGTTCTTGCACCCACTCTGTAAACAGGAGAAATTGTACCAGTAGATTCAGAGCAGGCAAAGGCAAGAGAGCCTTCAGTGAGCAAGTTTCCTCAAGGGTTTGCTCTCAAGTGCTAGTTTCTCCAAAAGAAGCAAAAGGAGAGTTTATTTTCTGTAAGTAGAAAGAGGACAAAAAGCCAGTCTTAAGTACAACCTAGCCTTTTTGTTAGTCATATCCTAAGCATCTCAGCAGATATTTGATGCTGGACACACTGAGTATCCTACTATATAAATGCTAATTGTAGAATCAACTAGGTTAGAAAAAACTTCTAAGATCATCAAGTCCAACTGTTAGCCCAGGACTGCCAGGTCCACCACTAAACCATGTCACTAAGGGCCTAATCTATGTGGTTTGTTAGCACTTCCAGGGACAGTGACTCTACCACTTCCCTGAGCAGCCTGTTCCCATGCCTGACCACCCTCTCAGTGAAGGAAGTTTTCCAACTATCCAGTCTGAACCTCCCCTGGCACAGCTGGAAGCTCCTACCTCGTCCTATCGCTTACTACTTGGGAACAAATGCTAACAAGCATGATGTCAGCCTAACTGAAGTTGTAGGTAGTCTTCAACATGCTTTCTCATTACTCTGCTCTCTCCACCTCTTATGATGGCTGAGCAGCAAGCTAATGTGCTGTAAAACAGGGAGGGCCTGTGCATCTACACTACATATTGCATTCATGCCCTTTAATTTCTGGGCAATGAGTCCTTGTAAGAGATCTGGAATGTTCCCGTATCTTTAGCTCAAACTAAATAAGGAGCAATCAAGTGGTTGTTTTTAGCAATAGCAAAAATAACTCAAGACACCACAAAGTCACTGAGCAGGGTGAGGGAGGAATGACAAAATACAGCCATGTGGCATTAGAGAGATACCCGAGGCTGAAGGTGTGCGTTTATGATAAAGCTGAGGTGAGCTAACTTCAAATTGTTGCCAGGAAGGGAGCCCCTCCTCTCCCTGATCTCCTCTCCCCACACTGGCATTTCCCTGATTACCCTCAGAGCTGATGGCAAGGAAATAAGCCTACAGAGCACTAACCTGAACTCTGATGTCTTCACTCCCTGAACTAGTTCACTGTTAGGCGAACATGCACCAAGGACCACACAAGATTAGTCACAAGACCACATCTTTCAGTGGAAGGCTACATTAAGACTGGCTTATAGATATTGCAAATATATCCTGAGTGAAAAGACAAAGACTTCACATATACTTTGTGAATTGATTCAATTGCCTAAAAATAGCCCCAATTAAAACCATTTTCTCCTCTGACTGTAAGTTAACCAGTACCAAGCACAGCCTGCCTTCTGAGATGTACAGAATGGGAAGCATTCTGAAAAAGCCAGGCTTTTTTGATCTTTAACATAAAATCCAACATTAGCAAACAAAACTGACTTTAAAACATATTGTACTTATGAGACCTATGCTGAAAATGGGGAAACGGAACATAATGTCACAGGAGTGTTGTAGAAATCCTATTTTTAATGTTCTGAACCACAAAAACCCTGGAGTGATAAGTATCAGGGGAAAGCCCATTAATAATAGCAAGAAATCAAGGAATGGTTTGGGTTGAAAGGGACCATAAAGACCATCTAGTTCCAGTGCCCCTGCCATGGGCAAGGGACACTTCTTTCTGTCCTTGGTTTATTGTGCAAGTGTTCCCATGCCTTAAATAAGGAAAAAAATAAGGAAAATAAAGTAATGTGCTAAAAGGTTCCTTACACATGGGTTCCATGGTCATGGAACTATCTGACAGTGCAATCTTAATGTTTCCTAAGAGAAAGGACTCTTTCTCTTATGTGTACGAGATGTGTAAGATTTATTTTTTTTGTAATTACATTTCATTTGCAAAAGGTTGAAGAGAATTTATTCAGAATTTCCCAAAAGTTTTCAGTTTAATGGACTGAAGCGTGAAAAAAGCATACTCTGCAAAACCACACCCACCACCATTTCTCTTCCCTTGATAAACAAATTAGCCAAAAATTGGTATATTAAAATCTCAGTTCCCATCAAGTCTATCATAAAACATTCTATGCATTCAGTTCTTCTTTTCCTAAGTTTTTGAAGAGGAAACAATTTATCTTCTGTAGTCAGAAGACTTGCGAATTGCTTAGCTTATTTTTGAGAAGTGTTTGCAAGGACAAAGAAAAGTATGAGTATTTCATTACCGCTTTTGAGTTTGGAGAGTTGCCCTGGAATCCTTTAGGTTTCTCCCACTGTGATTCTTAAAAAAAACAAAAATATATTTCATCCATGATTCAATCCTGTTTTAATACTCTTTAAGAAAAAGAGATCTTAAGAATATGACATGACACTGATGTGTGCACACATACAAACAAGTAATATAGTAAACAAAAAAGTAAAATCCTCATTGGAATATAAATCACTATCAAGGAAACCATGGTATGAACAATAAATAGAAGTATCACAACTGAAGTTGACTTTACTGGGACTAACCACCTTCCAGACGCTGTTAAACTATGGCTGATACATACATTAATACTGGAATTTTCATACAAAGGAGAGTTGTTTTTTTGTCTGATGGGGTCTTTTTGTTTGGTTTTGTTTTTTTAGTAAGAAATGAAACCCATAAGTTTTTTACCTTTTGACAATTATTTTCTATGAGGAAAAGACTATGGTAAGAACTCATGTCAATCCTTAAATCTGTAAGAAACAGTTAGTAATATTCTCATTAATCATAAAAGAGGGTTGCTTTTAATGCTCTAGAGTATAACATAACTCATAGCACCCCAACAGAAGTCAGTTATATAAATCTTGTAAATGTGGAAAGAAACAATCAGGTAGCAATCCATAACTGCTCTCATTTACTTGGGCACAATGAATTTATTTGACATTCCTGATCAGAACACTTCTTCAGGAAGAACACAGCTATCTTTCGTATACTTAACCTCTGAAAGGCTAAACACTTCCAGAAACTGTGGAATTACTGCTTTCTTCCATTATTAACAAACACGAAAACCAGTCTGAAATTCTGGATGCTAACATCTTGAATGTTAAATATCAAAACTCCATCTAATTGTTCACATTTTAATAACCAGCTTACTACAGAAAGAGCAGAAGAGTAAAGAAATGCAGGTAGTCTTTTCTCATTTATATCCAACAGCTATATCTGCATTTGCCCCTTACTAGTGTTTACCTCCTGTTTTGGTGTTGTAATAGTATGTATAGCCTTCGGGAGATAATCCTTGCACCCACTCCTTTGTCTCAGTTTTTGATGGCACTGAGGCATCCAGAGATGACTTTTTTTTCTTTTCTTTCTTTTCCTTCTTCTCTTTCTTTTCTTTCTTTCCTTTAGTTTCCACTGTGTTACTCTGCATTTTACTCTGTGTCGAACTGGGACCTACATCATCTTAAAGAAAACAATACTCCCTTTTTAGAAAAGAGTAATAATGTGAGCTTAAATATTAGTCACTCTTGAGCAACAGTAAATAGGACATTTTGTTCTTACGACTTATATTCACTCATTAGCATTACACTCATAGCAGGTAAACTTAAAAAGATTCTGTTCACAGAGTCTTGCACTGTAGCAATATTATAGTAGTGTAAGAAAGTCCAAGTATCAAAAGACCAGTAACATAAAGAGAAAAACCATAAGGACCAAAGAGCTCTAACGAAACAACAACAAAAACGAAACTAAGAAAGTTACGAAAAAGATAGTTCTACAGAAGCTTAAAACTACAAACTTTTTTTAATGGATCATAAGTTGTCACGTGGAACAAAGGTACTTGCTGAACTGCAAGCTGAGTAGGTGATTCTCACCTCCACTGTTAAGACACCAGTGGGAACCCAACCTCTCCTACTCAATAGGAACTTTCGTCTCCAACTGGCAAAAGTGACATAAAATTAACCAAAGGAAGCTGCACTGCTGATTCAAAGCATCAATTGCAGCCTCTTTTATGTTATCTCATTGTTGAATTTTTCTACTCCAAACTGGATTGTTCCACAGACCAGAGGATACCATAGCTAAAAGCATCCTGTGCTGTCACTTCTGCTAAAGGCAATTTGCAGGCTCCTCCTTCTTTCTTTTCTTTTTATTGTGCAAACACAGTCTTGGAGTCCTCCCCTCATGTTCCTAAAAACTAATTTAAGAAAAAACTCTTTCCTATTCAGTATTCTTTCAATTCTGTCTTTAATCTTCTGGCAGCTATATGAACTACCTGGCTTAATTCCAAGCCTTTTCATATCCTCTTGATAGGCTTTCATTGCAGCCTCCTCCATTGCTGCAAATTCTTTTGACATGTTTTCTTCTTCTTTTGCTTTTTCCAAACTTTTCTTTTTAATCTACAACAGAGAAACAAGAGAATAAATTAAACAAATCTGATAATGAAAGAGATTAAAAATAAGCATTTGTGCAATTAAGATATCTGAGTTACCTCACTAATTCTTTTTGCCACATTTTCTTTATGATTCTTTCCTCTTTCATGAAAATCAATGCTCTTCAGAGAGAAAACCAAGAAAAAATTGTAAGTATTATGCAATTTTAATTTCATTAATTTTAGCTAAAATCTAGTTATACTAAACTTAGCTGAACAAGCCTAAATGTAACTGGTCTGAAAACACTTCCAGCAAACACTACAGCTACAAAATGGCTGTAGGAATTAAGGAACACTGAGAAACGCTCAACTTGGAAGTTACAAAATATCACTAATGCTCCAAAATGGTTCCATAAAATTTCATAGTCTATATTTCTAAGATCTGAATTTTTTTCAAACGATACTGCTCATCACACATAGAGACAAGTAACAGGAAACCTGGGCTCCCCCTCCGTGCTATCCTGCCAAGTGTCATCCCTTGATTTTTTCTTCTTACCCTCTCTGTTTTCATGGAAACTTTTTTAAACCATATGGGTTATTCAGCATTCCAAGTATTAGCTAGGCTCCTTAATTAGACTCCCTCATGAACTTAAGTCTGTAGGTCCACAGACATGAGAAAGGGAGAGGAAAAGGCAAAGTGGGAGAGGAGCTGTGTAACTGAAGACAACAGAGCAGTCTGCAAGCCAAAAAGCTGCCAGAAAGACTGAAGCCAGTACGAAGTGGAAGGAATTCAGAAGCTGTACAGGGGCAACAGTGGAAGTCCTCATGTGCTTCACACAAAGAACATCTGAGCTCATTTAGGTGTTCAGATGTTAGGTGCCTGAGCCTGACCTAGTAACTCCAGAATTTCTTTGCATGAAGCCACGTGCAGAGGATGCACTTCAAGGGCAAGATTCATCTTATTTAAAAGCAGACTTTGTAAGTTCCCCAGACCCTTCTCCTTTAACATGTATTTCTCTTCACTGATCACAAGAAGGAACCTAAACCAATTAGCTCACACTTGTCATTCTGAACCCCAGGTATCTAACTGTAAACCAGATGAAGCTCAGGTCCAGGACTACGCCTGGCACTGAGTCAGGAATGCAAGACTTAATTTCTAAGTAAGAAACCAATAGGTCTAGTATTCTGCAAAAGGCATCTGCAAGTCAGAAACACCTTTCTGTAACCCAGTAACATTTCTGTGGGCAGTCCGTAATTAAAGAAACCTGCTTTAAATGCTTAAGAGTGCTGGATGTACCAGGCCTACCATATATAAACAGTACATACGCCAGGTTTTGCTTTCTACTTGCATGTGAAGGCCAGGAACAGGCACAAAGTTTCAAGACAGATCAAATGTTAAGTTACAGAACTTGAAAAAGCAGGGTCAGATAATTCAGTTCTTATCTGTACTAGCAAGTAGAACATCAGACACCACTTTGTATGCAAGTACCTGGCTCCCACATACCGTATTTTAAATATCTCAAGTATTACAAAGGCATTTTCTAAAACCAAATTTCATGCATCAATACAGTAGTATCAAAAGTGATGTCAAAAGCCTGTAATTCAAATTCTTAGAATTTCAAAATCATTGACATATTATGGTAGACCATCGTACAGGTCTGTTGTCAGCTATCCAGCACTTGCAGTAATCGCAGAATTTTTTTGGCTGAGATTTCCAGTAATCGGCCCTGGGGAGAGAAAAAAAATAAGTATGTATAATCTGAAACAAGAATCAAAGCCACAGGTCTTTATATAGATGTACAGCTTATGAAACTAAATCTACTCTGCTTTGGGTGATTGCACTGTTCAGTACTGGGATTGTCCCCATCTGACCCCTGCAGATTGCAAGATTTTCACAATGGAGATGCTTCTGTAAGAACCAGAAACACATGAAAAGGCAAGCTAGAGATACATAAGCAGCTCTAGACACCATACTAAACACAAACTGTGCAACTTTTCATAAATGTTTTATGTTTTTCACAGAACCACATGCAATAAATGCGTCTAAGTGTAAAACGTTAAATTTAATGCCAAAGCCTGCTTTGGATACTGTATACAGTGCAGCACAAAGGCAGTACAAAGGTGCAGTTCTGGACAACGTGAGCTGCTGTGGGGAATCCTGGAACAGATTCTGACCTGTGGGGTCACAGACACAGTAGTAAATCATTAGGATGTTTCAATGTAAAAATTCGAGTAACTTCTGCAGCATGCAATTTAGATAAGTCGCATGCATGAGGAAAGTTGGGGAAAACTCTTTGGAGCTCAGAAGTTAGGACCTAAAAAGTATTTAATAATAAAACAAACAAGCCCCACAATGGCTGTTCCGTCATCAAAAACCACTTTGTAATGCCAGATGAAGCTTGTGAAATAATTCAATTTCTTGTTAGCTTGCAGCAACAGAGGCAATGCTTTGGTTCAACAAAACACATTCTAGCAACACACTGCTCTTAAAATGGAAAAGAATGAGGGGTGAAAACAAAAGTATTTCAAGGTTACACTGAGAACATTAAAAAAATCAGCCTGAAACCTGAATCGTTGCCTTTGTCTGAAGATCAATGGACAGAGAGAGTTCAAGGAAAATACTTCCTGACACTTTTATTCAATAAAAACAAAACTTCTTCCATGCACAGTGATAGCACCTTCAACTCTGACACACGTAAGCACATCTTTCATTACCAGAAACCTCAACTCTTAAAATTCAAACAGATGTTGAAATACATCCTCTGACCAGTGCCTAATGTAAAAATACAGCTTTGCAGATGCTACAGTTACTTAGAAGTGTAAGTATGAAGGGTATGCTCTGAAAAAAAAAATCCTGTAAGCAATAGTGTGTTAGCAATTAACATCTTTTCCAGCAGTTTTCTGGAAAGCTAGAAAGGAGCATCCCTTGATTTGAACGTCAAGCTGCTCATCCCTGAAAGGTGGTATTTTAAAACTGGACGATTACTTAGTCACACATTTAATTAAATGGCATTTCAGATTTATATATCAAAATGTATTGCAGCCAAAGCCTGAAAAATCTAACACTCCCGGCTTGAAAACCAGCCTAGTGGGAGGGAGAAATTCAGAGCTCAGAAATACCTCGAGGCCCTTTTTCCTAATGGAACTATAGCTCCTAATTTGCCTCTAAATCCCTTTGACATCATCTCAAATAATGCTCCAGCTGAAAGCTGCGTTACCCTTCCTAAAGCAGCAGACCAATTCTGACAGAAAACACATGAACTGTGCAACAGCTTCACTGCATCTTTCAGATATGCAAGAACATCTTTGTGATTCCAAGTTTGACCTAACAGAGCTGCCTCTTTCTCTTCAACAGAATCAAGTATAAGTGCTAAAATTAAGACTGTACAGCTGCACCCACCGAAAGTCAAGACTTGAGAATGTGAGGAAATGTATTTTCACAGCTGTATTTTCCACAGATTCTTTCCTAAATGCTACCGGACATCACATATATAGCAAACCACTGCAGCTATACAGTCATCTTGCTGGAGAACCTGAGGGTACTCCTGGGGATTAAGTATGGATGCAGAGGCTTTTTGTCTTCATTTCCTATTGGTTTTGATAAAGACAGGCTGGCTCTCGGTTGTTACATGTAAAAGCAATGATACTGTCTGTGCAAATGATACTGTCTGTGCAAAAGACTTGATATCATGGGAACCTAAAATCCTGCATTTCATGATTAATGAGTTGTGGAAATTATGGTCCCAAGATTTTCCACCTTGAGTTCATACTACTCAAAAACCAAGCTTGGTTGAAATGGAATAATATCTTCCATTTTTACAACAGTGGAGCCTGCAAAGCACCAACAGCACTGCAATGAGAGCAAGCCAAAGAGAAGCGTTTGGAAAGGAACAGCAACAGAAGCAAGACCCCACTTCAGTGAGAGGCTGCTAACACTTCACGGGCTCCAGTCACAAACCTGAAAGTTAATCCAGATCAATGACAATGTTTCAGTATGCGATTATTTTATTAATCTGCCAAATACAACCTTGAGGGTAGATGCTGTTAAAGTGGTATAGAGGTTTCTTATACTTGAATAATTGTGTACAAATCAAGGGAAACACAGTTATTTTTAAAAGTCATTGCAATCAAAACCGTACAGCTTTTAAGACTCCCTATCTTCTGCCTGCACTTCCATCAGTGAAGGTTAGTTCTTATTTTCAGCTTTAGAGCTGGACTAACCCGCTAAGGACCAGAAAGCTTACCAGCTAGCCAGTACCACCACAAACACCTTCCTTCCTGCCACTAAAACAAAGAGTCCAGAGGTTTGCAGAGCTGAGGTTCAGCATCACACACATTTACCCAGGTCTGGCTCCCAGACAGGAGCTTGGCGACACAGACCCAAAGAGGTATCCAAGTTTCACTGTGAAGCTCTATCTCCTAGGAAGGGTTGTGACAAAGTCCAATGGGAGCCTGGTTTTCCAGAACTGCCTGAGCAAATTCAGCTTGGCAATCGGCACCCAGGGAACAGAGCAGCTCAGACAGTCAGGTACTGGGCACTTGCTTGACAAACTGCTGTAAACCTTCAGCCATTTGGAAGAAATTTGCATCTCCTACAGAGCAGTGATTTTTTTTTTCAACTTTTACTCATCAAACCACTCAGGGGGCAGAATGTGCAACAGCTCAGCAAGCTAAAGGGAAAGGAGGGAAAAAGAGAGAGTAAACACCAAGCTGTTTTCTTGAGAAGTTAATGAAACAACAAAACTCTGCTGCAAACGGTTGTAGAGTGCAAATAGCGTCACTGTTAAAACCATTTTCAGAGTTCTGAAATTCATTTCAAACTTCAGAGGGAGTGAGAAGATGGGGAAGAACAAGTAGCAACTCTACATGAACAGCATCTGCCACATTCATCATTTCACAAGACAAGAAAACACTGAAATCAGAGAGAGGAAACTCAAAAACTCAGGTATTTTGACTTCGCATATTCATTTCTTGAGCCATGAGTCGAATGCAGCCTATGCTGCAGTGACCCATTTACACACTCCAGCAAGTGAACCACACTTTTGGGAGCACACAAAAGGGGACAGGTTCTGTTGACAAGGTTCAGAAAGTAACCTGCAGAGTAATGCCAGCAGTATTGGGGTCCAGAGCCCCAAACCCAGCCAACTGGCAAAGTGCTTCTCCCCACAAGCTATAGTATTATTAATGTTTTAACAGGTGGTGCAATCAGCTTTCCTTACAGAGCAAAGCTTAAGAAACTCTCATAAAGAAGCTACCTTCAGCTGAGACGTCTTTGCCAGCCTTGACTTTGAGACTGGGATGGAGGTTCTGTTTTTACCATGTACAATTAAAATTAAAAGGGGGAGAGAAGGGAAAAAACAAACAAACAACTGTTTTAGGTGGTTCTGAACACAAGGAAAAAAACCCCAAACCAACAAAAGAAAACGCGTCTCTGCATCCAAACCTGGAAGCATTTGCTTTGAACAGCTCTGTTCTATAACACCAGACTTGAAACTTGGCAGGGGGGAGGAGAGAGGAGGGAAACAGTGTTACCAGGGATAGATCTGTCAAATTATAATAATTTAGGGGCTAAAAAACATCATACACATGCTTAGCAGTCTTCTTCGGTTTTAACAGCTACAACCTCTGAAGACTACACAAAGGGAGTATCCCACAGCTTTCTGCAGATTTGAGCACTGGGCAGCTTGCGTGCACATCATCTTGAATACAGGTGTGCTAAGTGAGAAAGAGACAAAGTTCTTGACTACACAAAGAAATGAATTCAGAGTAACTACTGTGGCTGCTCTGTAACAACCACTCAACAGGAGACAGCATTCAGAAGTAGTAATGAACTCGATTTGGGAATATTGTGTACTTTTACAGAAAAATAATAGTCCTGTAATGGAAAGAAAGAATGAAAGAAAAAAAAATAATCACATCTATTTCACAATAAACCCTACTCCACATGGGAAGCAATTCCAGAACAGCTAATTGTAATTCAAATATCCCGGTATTGGTAAAACCTAATAATGCAGCTCTAAAATCAACAGGGAAGGAGGCCAAAAAGGAGGTTCTTGTACTGTGAAGCGGGTCCCAGCAATGGCCCTAATGACCCATACTCTCAAATAATTCATAACTCCATTCATTCAGAGTGCAATAATCCTACCCTAGAAACTCTGCTGAGATACATACCCGTATTTAAGAAAATGTATTTAAAAATAAGAACTCAAGAAAACAGCATCCCTGACCCGGCGAGTGCATAGGGCTGTCCTTCCTAACTGTGGCTTCAAGTGTTTCACAGAATATACATCTGTATGTGGGCTCCCACAGATGGATGGGAGTTTCATCCACATGAAACAGGACAGTTCTCTGAAGAGTTTTGTTCTTCTGGCTTTTGAGTCCATTTTACTTTTGGCAATCCTTCTGTAAATTCTAATTTCCAACCTGATTTGCTGCTGCCTCTTCTCACTGTATCTGCCCCCTCTGAACACCATACAAATTGCAATATCCTGCAAGACAAACTGATCAGAGAGCAGTCTGCAGCAGCTACTTAGTCTGACCTGTACTGGTGCTGAAAATCATCTGCTTTGCCAGATCTCTTTTCTACATCAAAACTCTGTAACTTTAAAGGGGATGCTGCAAATATTTTTAAAAGCATACAAGAATGCACAAGAGTATCGGGGCAGGCTTCTTCTGCACATATGGAGCTCCAATGGACCTCATGTCCCCTAAATTCAGTTGTCTAAAAAGTCAGATGTTGAGTTCTCTGAGCTCTCTGCATCAACAGATGGAAGCTATAACCTCCAAAATGACACTCTTTCTGTCCCAAATATTCATCTGAGAAGCAAATTGAACTCCATAAGTGTGTATTTTTTCCTTATACACAGAACTTAAAGCAAACTGCTCGAGTCAGTCCTCAGAACTTAAATATCTTAAGTGCAGGATATCTGCTGAGAGCAGAGATCTACTGCTGTACATGCAGAATAAAGATATGGACTATGTCAGGAAGAATACGATAAGAATTAGAAGAGGAAAAAAACAGCAACACAAACTGGGTCAGGAAGCTGTGCAGGTATAATTTTAGCAACAACTAAAATTAAGAACAGCACTGTATGTAGTACCAGCCGGCAAGCCAGGCTCACACAACCTGACCATCACGTATTTCCCCACAGAAGGATCTGAGTCAGGGTAAATGTTGGTTTTCTGATCAGGTTAAGGGTTGGTTTGAGTTTTTTGTCAGCAGGGATGTTACGCATCTTGAAAAGTAACAGAAACAAACAAATGCCATTTTCATGAAAGTCTCACTTAATAAAGATCAAATCCTGGATTCTCACCCCCGCAAACGCGGTGAGGTATTAACACAAGTTTCCTAATTAAACTCTCGGCCAGCAGGACCGAGGCGCGGAGGCTCCTTCCGCACACTTCACCCAAAAGCGGAGGCGCCAAAGGCAGCCGCGGTTTGAGGTTGGAGGGGTCGGACAGGCAGCTGGCCCCCCTGCACCGCTCACGGCACCGTCCCGGCAGGCGGGAGCCCAAGCTGCCCGGCGTGTCTGGGAGAGATAAGGCAGCGAAAGCGCAGCACAAACAAACAATCAGGAGGGGGGAGGCCGGACGGGAGCAGACGGACGAGGGCGAGAGGGAAGCAACTCAGTCAATGAGCCGGGGATCACCGGCCACGGCTGGGGCACGGCTGGGGCACGGCTGGGGCACGGCTGGGGCACGGCTGGGGCGCAGCAGCAGCCCGGCTGCCCCAAGGCCTCCCACGCCCTGCGGACACAGGGCCCGGCCGCCGGCACTAACTCACTCACTCACTCTCTCGCTCGCTCCCTCCCTTCCCCGCCCGCGGTCTCAGGACAGGGGGCTCTGCGCAGATGGTGGCCAGCGCTGCCCGCTCCCTCCCGGCCCCCGGCACTCACATCGCCGCTTCCCGGCAGTGCCGCTGCGCAGCACCACACCGCGCCGATCCCCTCCGTTCGCTGCCAGCCGCGCCGCTGGGGCGGACTGGGGCGGGCCGGGGCGGGGAGAAGGAGCGCGGAGACAGAAGCCGGGAGGGCTCAATCCGCGCTCTCCTCCCCCCGCCCTTCCCCACCTCCTGCCTTCGCCCGCTCCTCCTCCCCGCCCCCGGGAGAGGAGAGCGCTCTGTGGGGAGTCGCTCCGAGAGGGAGACGGAGCTGTCGCCGTTCGGTGAGTGCTGTGGGCTGCGGAGAGCTCCGCGCTCGGGGGACACGAAGGAGGCTCTTCGCCCTTCTTCTCGGGGAGCGAGCGGCCGAGCCCCGCCGCTGGCAGCACCCCGTGCCGAGCTGTGCCTGCCCCGCCGCGGCTGCGTGTGGGAGAAAGGGGGTGCGGAGCGGCTGGGGACGCGGCGGAGGGACCTGGGGTGCACCGCCCTGCCAACTTCGTGAGGAGTTGGGGCAGCGCCTGTGGTAGGAGGGGTGCTTCGCCGCCTCAGCCTCCTCCTCCCGCCCTGCCCGCCGTCGAGGGGCGGCGGGGGCGCGCGCGCGGGACGGGTGGAGGCCGCGGGGTGTGCGTGAGCGCCTGAGGCGGGGGGGGGAAGAAGAGGAGGTCGGGGCCAAGGGCCGGCACCGCCCTGGGGCGGGTGGTGGGGGGACTAGGACGGGACACTCGCCCTCGACACGTCGGCTCCGACGGGCCGTGTTACCGCCCAGGGGTGTGGGTCGCTCCCGTGGCGCTGGGTGTACGGGAGTGGTGGAGGCGGAGATATCCCGCCTCAGCTGCTTCCCCCCCCCGGGTAAAACTCCTGCCGAATTTGTATCCCCCCCATTCCAGCCCCGTGGGACTGATTTTCCGACGGTGCAGCGAACAAAGTGATGTTAATTTACCGATCGCAGCTGGCAACCTTTCTGCTGTAGTCACGCACAGGGGTGGAGGAGAAGCCTGGGGAGTGAGTCATGGACGTGAGAGGCCCTCTGGGTGTTTATGGCAAAACCACGGGGTGGCTCCTTCAGCGTGTGGGAAATCGGTGGAGTAAGAGTTCTGTATGAGCAGAGGTACCCGCGCGTACCACACACCCCTGCCCCGGCTGCCTGCGGAGCAGCCTGCAAAAGGAGCGGGGGAAAGTCACATCCCTCCTTCCTGAAGGGGGCTTGTGGTCACCCAGTCATAGCTAACTGCAGTAGTTACGCGTTTGTCAGCGTTTTCATTATAAGTGCAGTTTTTATGTAGTTTATAACTCGGTTATAAGAACATGCACCGGGTTGAAATTTGGTCGTCGGCCTCTTCTCCAGAAACATCTTCTAGGTGAATCTTGACATGATTCTGCTTAGGTGCTGAGTGGAAATACATGGAAAATAGTGGCTTTCTATATTTCCATGAACTTTAAAACATAGCACGTGGACACATTTCCAGCTCAGTCAAAAAATAAGTCATCCCCCCACTGTTTGTTAATCTGGTGAAGGGTTTAAAGGCTTGGTCTCTGTAGGCATTGCTCTTTTCGCGTTATTTAGTGCAGCAGAGACTTTCTGAAGACTCTTACAAGGTTCCTGCTTAAGGCATCAACCTACAGAAGTGACATAGGTCACCGCAGGGCCACACAGCTCTGACCATGGAGTGCCAGGGAGTGCCAGGACAGTCTGAACGCCTCAGTGCTGCTGTGGGCAGGAAGCTGGTCTTAAAAATGAAGGTAGAATACGTTAACTTTGCTCTGAGGGGGTTTGTTTTTTTACCGTGTCTGCTCAATTGCTGCTTCTGAGACAGGGAACAAGCAGGGTATTGAAGAGGTTTGGTTGGTATCTCTCTATATACGCACATCTCTGGATCCCGTGAAACGCGCCTGCCACCCAGTGGATGTAGCTGACCCTATACGCTCCGTGTTCTGTACATTTGACTACCTCTTCGCGTTGTCCAGCCCTACCCCGTTGGCAAGTTTGAGAAGCAGAGTGCTTGGGAGTTGTAAAAATGCCCAGCTCATCTGGTTTGCCCTGGGCCTGTGTGCAGTGATGGTGTCTGTCATGACATAGTTTTAAACTGATGGAGGGTAGATTTAGATTAGACATTAGGAAGAAGTTCTTCCCTGTGAGGGTGGTGAGGCAGTGGCACAGGTTGCCCAGAGAAGCTGTGGCTGCCCCATCCCTGGCAGTGTTCAAGGACAGGTTGGACAGGGTTTGGAGCAACCTGCTCTAGTGGAAGGTGTCCCTGCTTGTGGCAAGGGGTTGGAACTGGATGAGCTTTCAGGTCCCTTTCAACCCAAACCATCCTATGATTTTGCGATCTGCCACCATCCATCCTGGCCAGCTGAGGTGATGAACCAGGGGTGCATCTGCCAATGTGTTGCAGCTCCCCTTCTGGACAGCAGTAAGAAGAGGTAACATGAATGAGGCAGATGAATATATGCAGAGGAAGAGGCAGTTTCACACCTGAGACGGGTGGAGAATTGGGTTTTGTAACCTCTGCCTTTGTCATAGCATTTCCACTTACACATAAAGGTCTTTGCACATGGGCTGCTGGGTTTTGTGGGTGCCTGGCCTGAGTCTCTGGGATGCTTTGCAGTTACACTGAGCTTGTTTGTCTGGATCAAAAGTCCAATGGCTATTAGCTCTCAATGTGCAGAAGATGTTTTGTAGGTCTAAGCATATTAGAAATACAAGTTTTGAGTGTCAGCACTGCTCACTCAGTGTCTGGAGCATTTTGCTTTAATCTTTTCGTATCTTGGTTTTCCCATCCTTAAATCCCTGTGGATAGCAGTATCCTTTACTTTAAGGATTACTGTAGTGATGAGAACCACAAAAGAGCCTGGGACCTTTAAAAGGAGTAACTCCCTCTGTGGTTTGAATGTATGTACTGATGCTCTAGAGAACAAGGGCAAAAGGAGAGATTTGTGTGTTAATTATAGCAAAGCTTCTATGGGGAAAAAAAATGTGACTAGGTCAGTTGCAATTAGAGGTTGACCTCCATGCATATAAGTGGTAGGAGATGGTTTTTATTGCCTTAGGCCACTTAGTTCTAATATTTCCTGATTTCTGCCATGTTAATTGAATTTTTAATACCGTTTTTTGTATGTGATTTCCAAGGTTTTCTTTCCTTTAGGAAAAGAGGTGAAAAACAGATAGGCAGCCTAGGGTGGCATACCCAAGTCACCATCCTTCATCGTCTGTGTTCTTCATGTATTACTTGGGATTCTGCTCTTGAGCTCTCTGTTGAGGATACCAATGGTTATGTTGGGTCATTGCTGTGGTCTGTGTTGCCGCAAAGACCCATAGGATGGGGCAGGGACAGGGCAGGGAGAAGCAGGACTCCTGCTCGTGTCCCAGGTACCCGGCATTGTTGTGGCTATAGCTTTACGGGGGAAGCCTGGAGCCTCCTGCTGTTCTCTGACTTGGGGCACAGTTACTTGAGATGCAGTCCTGTCCTGCACAGGTGCTGGGGGAGAAGTTGTTTATTGCTGTGGGGATGGCCTGTGTCATCTGATCAGCATGAAGAGTTGTGAAAAATGTGGATATGGCCTAGGAAATACACACTGAAAATGCACAAAGTGCAATTTGGATATTTGACCAAATGCAAGTGGATTTTTCATTGGGGCAGCAAAAGGGACACCTCCAGTACAGCAGCTCCAGCCCAGATGTCAAATTTCAAATCTGTCCCAGAGAGCTGAAAGGATGCTATAGCCTTTAAAGTTTGCCAGAGATTTCTGTTAACACTGAAAGACAGCATTTTCCCTGGTCTTGTTCTGGGAACAGCTGAAGTATTGTGACTTGAGTTGTTCTAATTGCAGTCTGCCTCTTTTTGCACCCCTCACTTGGAGGTAACCTCTACAACACATGGAACAAAATTTAGCCTGAGGCAGACATTCAACTTGGAAAATTTCAACCCAAACAGCCAAAGGCTGGCCAAGTTACAAGCAGCTGGAAGGAGAATCTCACACTGCAAGTGTTCAGCCACTGCCTAAATGTGGTGCTACAAGGTTCATCAATACTGTGTACACGTTTATGTACATGGAAATACGATGCTGAATTATAATATTGGGTTGACTAACTGGCAGCCAGTTCATTCTGATTTTTCTTTTTTTTAATAGAAAATTGAAGCTAACCCTCTTTGGTTAATTGTGTGAATGCTTTTCCATACTCACATTATTCACTGTTTTTTTCCTGGCTGAAAAAATTGAAAACTTTAAAATGGAGCCTCTGAAATAAATGACAAGCCAGGGCTTACTTGTTCTGAATCTTTCAGAACGACTTAACAATTGCTAAGGACCAATTTACAGTAGAACTAGGGTAAATTGCTTCTCAGCCTTTTGAAATGTAAAAAAAAACCATCTCCCAAGTTCCTAAGTTATTCATCAAGTGTTCTGTTGTAGCAGGCTCACCCTATATTGTATCCCTGATATGTCTATTAACTCTGCAGTGAAGTGCGAGTTTAAAACAATTGTGCTATGAAGTCACTGCGGAATAAATATCACAAACATTGGCAAAGTTGCTTCATAAATCTTTCATAGTTTAGTGAGGAACTTAGGCATGCCTTTCTTCTGTGAGAGTGCAGCTGTTTCTTGTGGGGTCCCCCAGGGGCTGGATCTTGGTGTACGGCTGTTTAATATTGTTATGTTCACAGTTTTTGTGATGATATCTCATCGTTACCCATAGATAACATGCAGGTTTGTGCACGTATTCCAAATCTTTTTTTTAAATGGTCAGCATCCAGCAGAAGGCATTTTCCATGCAGCAACGTACAAAGGAACCAGGAATGCAGTTACACCAGCAGGATAGGGGACTGTCTTCAAACTGGTAATTAGAAAAAAGGCTTAAGAATTTGTGCAGGGAATCATCTCAACACAAATTTTCATGGTAATGCTGTGACTGAAGTGTGGTGTTTGGCTGTATAGCAATATAAATAATGCACAGAAATTGGAAAGTACGTGGCATTAGTAAGATCATGGGAATTCTGTGTGCGGTTTTGCTGCTGACATGTGAGGAAGAATGTGAACTATTAAGTGACAAAAGTGATCCAGGGTTTGGAAACTAAGTTTTACAATGCAGGGTGTGCAGAGTTTATTCCCCTCAGAAGAGACTGAGAGGAGAAATCATGTCTGTCTATATCCTATGGATGCGTAAGGAAGATACATGACACTTGACCCTACTAAGACATTCAGTGTCTAGGAGATGCAGTTAGGTATGTTTTACCTTGAAGTAATAAATGGCAACAAGGGCAATAAAGCATTCTAATGGATTTGCTGTTGCTGGGAGTGTATTAAGTGAGATGGGTTTTCTTTTCGAAGATGTGCTTTGGCTTGGTTCGGAGGAGGATGTTTCCAGTGCATGCAGAAGGGAGGGACTCTGTTCACCTGCATTCTTGCCTAGATTGAGGAAACAAGATTATTTGAAGTGCTTTCTGTGTATTGTAGCACATGTTCCCACCTTGGATAAGATTACAGTAAAGTGTCATGCTGCATCACTTGGCTGGTTTTCTCTTCGGTCAGGAGGACCATTTTTTCTTTTAATTTGACTTCTGGGATTATGATTAATTGTTGTGTACTTTCCTCCAGAGCATCAACATCTGGTGACAGCTGGAGACAGGATATCGGGTGCTCACCTTCCTCACTTACTACTCCCTGTTGGTACAGAGTCCTCTCATATTCCCAGGTTGGTGTACATCTTTCCTTACTCAGGATACTGACTGCTGTGTTTAGGGATGAAGAAATTTCCCCTGCTATTAGATAGACGAAGATGTTGCTCATTGTTCAGAGATCGGCTGCTGAGAGCTTGTAGTACCTGCAGTTTCCCCTTAACCACCTCTGTATCCTTTAGGCATGCCTTTCCCTCTGCCAGATCTGTTGCAAGCAGACACCGCAGACAGGGACATTGGCCACCCCATGCATACGGCTGGACAGCACAGCACCCCCAGCAGTCACTAAAACAAAAAGTTATGGTGGTGAAATCATTCTGAAACCTGAAACACATGACTGACTGCTTGAATCAAATCAAAGCATTACCTGTAGAGCTTTTCAGGCAGCTTCACAGCAAAGCTGAGGGTTCACTTTGGCTTGGGATTGCAATTGAGCCTAAATAGTTACAAGATGATGTTTTATAATTCCATAGTTCATTTTTTTTTATACAATAAACACACATTTTTTTCCTTTGGCATCTGAACTGGAATAAATACACTTTAAGTGTTGAAGTACTTCTTTCTGTAGAAAATTTATTTTATTGCACCTACTGTAGGGTACAAGGTAAGCAAAACAGTGCCACGGTCTGATTTTCAATATTTCATACTATGGTTTTGATTGGGGCTTTTTCATTCACACTTTAAAATATCCTGTGGATGTTTTAAGGTAACAAATTGCGTTTTCTGTACAGGGTGACGTTAATGGAAGTTTTCTTGTTGAAAAGAACTGCAACTTGAGGAACCTAAGTTCTTATAAGTCAGTATCTCTGGACTTCTCAAAACCAGGCATAGAAGTATTTCTGCTAACTTGGAAATACTTAGGCACCAAAGGACTTCTCTCAAAGATGATTTCTGAAAGCACTTCTCTCAGCTGCCATATTGAGATGTTCATGTTTGAGGAAATAATGACAGTGCAGCCTTCTAGGGTTTGATCTATATGCCCATCACAATGTTCATTGGAGTTAATGATGATGCGCTAGTGATTTCTAGGAGATAAAGGATCGCACTCACTAATAAGGGTCTGTCTGTTTTGAAAGTGCAGTTGTGGGTTTTAGTTTGCCACCTTGTGCCATTTTCCTGGTTTTGTAATATTTAGTGAGTTTTATTCCCTTGCTAGCTGTGAAGTCAAACAGTGTTTTAGGTTGAGATTACAATCTACGGAATTGTCAAGTGACTTATGTCCATCTCAGGGGCATATCAAATTTGAGCATAATATTATTAAATAGCAGAGCTATATAACTGACTGTTTGTACAAATTGTGAGTGTGTATGTAGGATAATTATGCACCCAGACAACCAAATTAACAAAGGCTAGAAATAGTAGTTAGACGGCGTTCTCTGCCAGGTTTCCCCTTTCACCAGTGCCAAATGAAACTATAATCAGGATAGTAAAAGAGTTAGGTGTTTTCATTGAATGTGCCTGCCATGTGAGTGTGTGTGCAGACTTCCCCTGTAGTTCCTAATCCAGCACATCTGCTGCCAGTGAAGATGTAATTTTGCCTGCTCCCCTGAATTACTTTAATTTCCTTCTGTTTATACAGAAATACGTTTTTTTTTTGTTGCTAAGACCTCCTGTTTCAGGTTCGCCCGCTTACTCTAGGCAGTGTGATATTCCAGTCTTTTTTTCCCTCTGTTAATACAATAGTGACATGAAGCAGTTACAGTGTCTGAAGTACTGGGTCATAGTGACATCAAGAAAATTTAAGGAGCTTTTTCAGCTTGCTTGACCTTGTTCTGTGACTTGTTCTTATGTCGTATATTCAGGTAGGAAACTGAGCATGCTCCAGGTCCTGGCAGAAGCTAGCTCACATGGTATCTCTTGCTGCTGTTTCAACATCTGCTGCTGCTTAGAGAGACACTGTCTCTGTGTCATTTCCAGAAGCTTGCAGGTTAAGCGTGTTATCAGATGTTTTGGGGGTGTGCTTGGGCTCTTCTTGAGGGGAACTCAAGCTGGTGGTTGCGAGTGGAACTGCTGGTGGGAAAGTTGCAATTCTGCAACTTGCTGCAGAACTTTAGAGACCTTTTTCAGACAAGGGGGGGATTGAACAGCATGCTGGCATCAGTTCTCTGCTCTTTAATGTTATTAAAAGAGGGGGTTCAATGACAAATTGCAAGGTCTTTTGTTGATCAAGGTCTCTTGTTGATCAAGGTTTGACGCTGATCAAGAGAAATACAGCAGATACGTTTGTTTTGAGGAAAACCGAGAAAGTGCACTCTATCACCAGTTTAAACTGTTGAAGACATGAAGAGGTTATGCTGCTCTGTGGCATAGGATTTGCTATTTTTTTTAAGATAAAAGGCAGGGGAAGTGGTATTGTGGGTGAAAGCACAGCAAGAGTAGTCAGAAAAAAGGGTGGTGACAGTACTTAGTGTTCATACAGTGCTGTAGGAACACTGATCCAATGTGTTGTGGTAATAATACCATTCCTAAGGAACAAGAAATCTCTAGGAAAAGAGCGTAGTCCAATGCAGTTTCAAAAACTTCACTGTTTTGGGGGAGATCAACCGATTTAAACAACAGAAACATGAAAACTGAGTGACAAAGTACAGATGACTGAATTCATTCATGCATTAAAATACATTTCCCCTCGAGCCTAAGGAAGACCATTCCTTGTCTTCACACAGCCATTTGTGCTGAGTGAAATGACAGTGGGAGACAGAGAGCTCCAACATCTTCTTGGCCTGGACCCTGGGCCTCCTCCCTCCTGCTCTGCTTCCTGGGTTGCAGATGGATGCAACACAAACGAAGCTGCTACCAAGCTCCAGAAGAAAGGCCAGAGCTTGAGTGTTTCTAGCAGTAGTTTCTCAAAACAGATACGCCTTCAGGCAGCTCTTGCACAGTGCTTTTTCTTGCTCTCCCTGCATGCCTGCCCTCGCATGTGCCAGACAACACCATCTAATGAAATGGCTGACATTTCATTGATATGGATCCCTGCTGCAGACAGTCATCTCCTAAGTAAAATGTTGGGCCTGAGGGACAGCTGTGCAGAAAAAGGCATTGGCTTTATCACGCCATCACTGGAAGCGGTGATCTGCATGAGCATCCCAAGGAGGAACATCATTGCTCCGTGTGTAAGGAAAACAGGCCGCTTGGTCTCCATGCAACTTGCATGGTTTACACAGTAGCTTTATTTTAGTCAAAAGGGTCTGGGCAGCTTAGGTGGCAAAGCTGAGGCAGGTTCTGGTAACTGTGCTGAGAAGCTGCTGAGGCAGGTTGAGAAAATTAGTGGTGTGTTAGTGGAGATACTGGAAACGAGATGTATCTGTGGTCTATTGAGCTGTAAACCTTACGCTGGCAGGCTTGTGCCAGCATTTTACTTTTATGCTTCCTTCTGGGAGAGGGGAATTACACCTACATGTAATTGTGTGCAGAGAACAGGTCCCCCAGCACCTGCTTACCTCCTCTGTAGTGCCAAGCTTTTCCCTTATGTATTTGGGTATCTGTGTGCTTTTTGCAGTTGTCTTTCACTGGATGCCTTTTCAAGTGAAACCTTCATGTGGAACCATCCAAAAGAAAACTTTATATTATTTTCTTTTGAAGGTTTTCTTAGTTAAACAAATTATATGGGTTAACAGATTGAGATTACTTTAGGGTTTGTAAGAAGATTTTACTAACCCTTTTTAAAATTCAGTTTTCAAATGTTAATATTACAGTGTAGTAAAACGTTTCAACTATTACAGGTGTAGTATTTTAATGAATGAATGAACTGGCTTCTGACCATAAACATACTGCAGCTGAGATTGTGAGAGCCAAAAATCTACTCTTATATTCTTGGCAAATGGCCATTTGTGGAAATTTTCCAGAACACATACATATATTGATGTTGAATAGTTTTCATATCCTTGTGATCAGATTTACTGATATCTTTTTATCTTTGTTGTACACTTTTGGGAGTGAAGGAGATGATTGAGTCATTATGGACCTCATCTGAGGCAAATTATTGCAGATACATTACCTAAAGTCTGGTCTACCTGCTTGCTGTACCCCTGGGTGTAATTTCTGGGCTAGTCTCTAAAGCAGAGGTTAGACAGCTGAACACTTTTTCAGGATGTTGTTTGCTTGGAAAGTATAGGTTTGTTTTCTGTGAGAAAACCAATACATTAACTTTTGTAAATGTTGTATTTATTTCATTTGAAATAAAAAGCTGCAGCAGAAATGGGAGTTTGTAGTCTCTGTTTTATCATTACAGTGTGGCTAGCTGTTGGAAGGTCAAGTCATACCTAAGGTTGTTACTGTATGAACTCCCTCGCTGACTTTCCTAGTTAGGTGGGTTGTTTCTCCTCTTTTGCCAAATCTATGAGCCTTAGTGAAAGAAAACTCCTCATTTCATGTTTTCTTGTAGGAAAAAAAAAAGGTAGTTATAGAGAGAATTGCTTTTATTGTGGAAAGTTAGTGCTAAGAACTGTGTACTTCTTCATAGACTTTAAAACTCAGACTAGGTTCTAGGTGTTACATCTTTACCTCAATACCTGTTGAGAATATTACTTATTTTTCTGAAGTCTCTAATCCTCTAGAGCACATGCATTCTGCCTTTTCTTGTTTCAGATTGATGTCAAGACATGTAGTGATATTAGATACAGTTACAGACTGTGTAGTTCATTGGTGCTTCAGATTTATGACGTGATCGAAACCATATCAAGCCTCCCTTTCTTCTTCTTTTTTACTTTTTGGAGGTGGAGAAAGATCCATTACATACATGTTCACATTTAACTTTTCATTCTGTGTATTTTATTACCAGGCTAAGCAGTAGCCTTACAGGTGTTTCAGTAGGCACAAGTATTTGTGCAGGTGCGGTTTAAGGAAGAAAATGTGTAATTGTGGTTCTTTTGTATAGCAGAATAACTGCCTTTTAGCAGAGGAAGCTGTTCTAAATGGGAAGTATTAGGAAAACCACTGAATTTGGATACTGTGTTAAAGAAATGTGAGAAGGTGGCTTTATGAACACTGTTACTGGTACTTTTTTGTGTTTGTGCTCCCT